CACGTGATTATTGAAAAGCTGTAACAATAACGTGCGCCGTCATGCTGATGTCAGTTTTCTACCACAAGGCAATGTTTTTCTTCCTGCATTACACGCCATACCTAACAGTGTTTCTGCACCTATTTATTGTTACTACAATTATTATTTTGGTTTCTCGTAACTAGGAATCGAATGGTGTTTTACTATTGAGGGATTACATATATATTAAAATAAGAGACACTTTCTCAAAAAAAGATGAAACGGTTTCTCGGAAGAAGAATTCCATTAATATTGCGTGGATACGAGTATCACACCTACACTTATTTAATCTATTTTTGCGGATTAAATTGAATGTGTATCTAGGGTACAATAAAAAACTATAGTTTGCAAAAGAGTGCGTAACTCGAGTTGTGTCATAAACATTTTCTATCACATCATTCATAATACTAAACAAAACAAAAATATATATTTTTAATAATGTATTATACAGGGCTTTCATTTCACAAGGATCCAGTCTCAATAACTTTTGACATTGAGTAAATGTATTTTCAATCAAAAACAGGTCGATTAGGATCCCGAGGGGGAAGTTGAAAACCAACATTAGTTACATTTTAAGTTTCATCCCCAAGTCGCTAGCCACCCCTACTTTAGAATTTTAAATGGCACCCTCTACTTTTTAGAACGTTTTCGGAAAGAGAAAAAATCAGCGTCTCTAAATGTCAAAGAAAAAAAATTTTTGTCGATATGTTTTTCAGTTAGGGGTGGTTTAATTTTTGAAATGTTTAGTTCTAGTAGCCTTTGATCGAACTCAATTTAATTTAAATAAAAAATTAGTCGATTTGGGTTGCGATGGGAGAGTTTAAAACCAACATTAAATACGTTTTAGGTTTCATCCCTTACTCAATAACCACCCTTACTTTAAAATTTTAAAGAGTTTCTCCAACTTTTTGAAACATTTTTGGAAGGAGGGGAAAAAAGCTTATCTAATCGTAAATGAAAAAAAATATTTTGTCGATTCGTTTTTGAGATACGGGTAGTTTTATTTTAGAAATTTCCATCAGTTTTAGTAGCCTTTAACTTTGATTTTGATTATGTGTCATCTAATACATTTTATTAAGAAGGCGGTGATGTCAACAATTCAGCGAAAATTTACCATTTGACAGTTCAGTTAATTAAAAAATTACTTTTATTTAAATTAAATTGAGTTGAATCAAAGGCTACTAGGACTTAAAATTTCAAAAATTAAACCACCCCTAACTGAAAAACAAATCGACAAAAAAAATTCTTTGACATTTAGAGACGCTGATTTTTCTCTTTCCGAAAACGTTCTAAAAAGTAGGGGGTGCCATTTAAAATTTTAAAGTAGGGGTGGCTAGCAACTAGGGGATGAAACATAAAATGTAACTAATGTTGGTTTTCAACTTCCCCCTCGAGATCCTAATCGACCTGTTTTTGCTTGAAAATCCATTTACTCAATGTCAAAAGTTATTGAGACTGGATCCTTTTGAAATGAAAGCCCTGTATAATAATTTTTCAAATAAATTGAAACGTCAACTTTTTCAATATCAAAAATCGAGTGAAAAATAAAAAATATTTAATAACCGTGGGCAAAGTAGTATACTGTCGATGCCGTTCCGCTTGATTTCTGAATTCGTGAATAATAGATTATTAAATTTATTAACTGTGTGTTTGATTTAAGTGTAAAAGTAAAAGTGCTGTACTCCATGATATTTATTATGAGTTTAGAGTAAAACTTGGACCACGTGGTGTTTGTGCACTTAGCACAACATATACCGAAAAAGATTTGTCAGAATGTTAGAACCATAAACGAACAGTTTACTCAACTTTATCATCAAGGATGAAATGTGACTTTACCAAAAACCTTTTAAGAGTCCAAGCAAATGATGAGTGAAATGAACGAGGGATGTTGCAATAACTCTCAACTAAGCATTTTCCTACCAAAGCAGCAAGCATTACATCGGTTCTTTTTAAACCTGACTGTAATATTTACATTGAATTGCCAACAAATAAATAAAAACCTTTAACACCATTAAATTACTGAATGGTTTAATAACCACCTAAGCGGGCTAGAAATTGCACAATTGTTTAATAATAAAAAAAAATAAAAATTGGTTTTATTTTATTCACGGGTTAGTGGGGCAATCCGTGGGCAGCGTCATTAATTGTCCTAACAGATTAATCTATCCATTTTCACACATTTTATTGCTCTTTAGGGACAATTAATAAAATAATGAATTATTATTAAGTGAATAGATAAAAATAAGTTTTACATAAACAGAACCTTATCTGTTAGTAGAATTCAGATAACCTGGATTGTGTAAATAATGTTTTTGACTATGACTACATTTATTGTGAAGGTCACGGTAGCATGTTTTGGATACTGACATATTTTTCAGTTATTTTCCTTTTCAACAGGAATTTCAACAGTATTCCGAGAGATGAGTGTAGAATGAATGAATGGAAATTCACCGCAGTGTCTCAGATGACAAATAAATTGTGTACTAAATGTAATTATAACAGAATTTTGTTTCACATTATTTTCTTTCATTCGTTTCATATTTTTAATTAAAAAGCTTTTTGAAAGTTTTTAAACAGCAGAAGTGAAGCAGTCTAAATAATTCTCGAGTACTCTCTCCTTTGATATTGTTCAAACAAATCAACATTAAATTTCAGTTGCATAATATTAGGTAAATAAAGTTTCTTTTTATAAGCCATGTGAATGTAACAAACATTCGCTTTATTAAAATTTTTTATTAGCTCACTTTTGAACGGATGTCCATTTAGATCGTCTTAAGTTGAATAACATCACTAATTGCATTATCTAGTCGTGCCGGCTGTACGCTAGTAAGGTTACAATGGACAAAGCTTGTTTCGTTTTGTTTCAACTTTGAGCAATTTTGGTGGTTCAACAAACTTTAATTCTTCGTATTATTTATTTAATTGTCAAAAAATTTATACATTCTTGTTATTATAGAGCTTTGCATAAATCAATAAATTAAGTTATAAGGATTTTTTGAAATTCATGACTGGTTGTTTTTTGAACTTTTTTTCTATTTTATATTTACATTTCATGATTTAATTAATTTATGTTTAATAGCGTATTTGTTTTATGTACCGTTTGTATTCTGTTCTTTGTTTTTATACAAAGAAAAGAGGTGGGTGTTGCTCTAATACATTTGGGAAAGGTGAAAAGCATAAACCTGATTTTAACAATACACTGGAGATTGTACAAAACATGTAACACATAAAATACAAAATGTGTCGTAACTGTTAGGAAAAGGTATGAAGATAAATATAGAAAAAGAAATCATTAGGATTGGAGTATAAAGCATAGACTAAAATTTTTTTGTTAGCTTATAGAGGTAGTTTGACATTGAGCTGAACAAAGCTCGGGATCAAGATGGTATTTATTTGTCTATTTTTAACGAATATGTATTTATTGATTATTTATTTTTAAATATAATACAAGTAACACTGGCCCACACATTTTACTTTATTTACCATCTTGGATGTCGCATGGGATGTTATTGAGTTTTGCTGGGAAAATATCAAACATAACTTTAACAACAGAAATGTAGAGACATTTAACATTTGCAAACACTTTTATTGCTTCTAGCTCTACATTGAAATAATTTAATAATGAATAAAACTCTCACGTATTTAAACATTAAATAGATAAACATGTTAACATAATTTATAACGTATTTTCAACGAATTTTGACCAGCGAAATCGATATGAACATGTAAATGCATAACTGCCATAGATAAAATTAGATTTTATAATTAGCTTGACAACATATAGATTGGGGCTTTGTCGATTAATCAGATATTGACATTAATGGTAAATTTGATTTACTTGGTGTAACTAAGGTCAGAAGCGAAGATGGAGATCCATTCATTTTAGTAAACTAGTGAGTGATTAGTAAGGCTCGGATTATATGCACGAAAAAGTCGTAAAATATTCGCATATATATGCACATATTTTCACAAAAAACATGCACAAGATATTAAGAAATATGCTCCAATATATGCCAAATATGCATCGATATGCAAAACTTTTAACAATAAAGAATCAAAGTTGGGATAGATTTTTATCCTTGAGTACACTAAACTTTGTATTTTCGGCTTTTTGAACTGCACACGATGAACGAAAGAGAATAAATAAATTGGTTTTGCCTCAGACAAGCCATTTTAATAACCTAGTAATTAAACCTTTCTAAGAAATCTGTACTTTTCAGATCACATCATTTATTTTTTTAAATGACAAACTACCAAATAAAACATTTTTCTCATGAAGGTCATAATCTAAGGGATTACAACTACTATCTACTTTGTATTAAATAATTTTTTTTTATATAAATTGCAATTTTGACAAGAAAAATTGATTAACTCAAAAACAACGCAAAATTTTGTTCTTAAAATAAGAATATTTTTTTATATTACTTTAATTTATATTAATTATTATTTTTTGGAAACAAATGATTTCAAAACCTGCTTGTTTTGATACCTTATAAAACGAATTTAAAACGGAAACACTCAGCAGGATACTAATTTTTTTGACTCTGGCTTACGAATTACCGGTTGTTTTCTCTTTAAAATATTTTGTAATCGGATCATTTTTCTTAAACTGTACAATTTTTAACTTGAACTGAAATTTTTAATCGGAAATTTGAGATTTGAAGAAAATATGCACAAATATGCAATATTTCCTAAAATATGCTCGAAATTGCCAAAATATGCATTTTTTATTTGGCTTATTTTAATCAAAAAACATTAGATATGCATAGAAAACTTACAATTTTGTTGATATACCTCTTAATAACAAATATGGATTTTGCATATAATCCCAGCCTTAGTGATTAGTAGTCCTTTTGAATGAATTGAAAGAAGTTGTAAAATAAACCAGGCGACGGCGGCGGCGTATTGATTTTCCGAACATTCCGTATGTCAAGTCTTGTCTCTAGAGGAGTGCTCATTTAAAACCACGTTTTTATTTTCAGATTGGACGAAAGAAGCAAGGAAGATGATTGATCCATCTTCATCTGAAGAAGACAGCGAAGAGGAACACGCCCCTCCTCATGCGGGCCACCATCCTGCCGCCCACCACCACCACCACCAAACCCATCACCACCACCATCCCGTGAGTAAAAATCGACAAATAATCGTTTTATAAACATTCGCGCATAACGCGAATGTTCATCTGCTAATAAGACTTGCTTTTGATATTGCGAACTTTGAACTTTACAAGTTATATTGTTACACGCAATTACCTCTCTTTTTTACTATGACAGCAAAAATTTAAAAAGACTTGTCTGTGGTATGTTTTTTCGTCGAATTCAAAATTAAATAAATTTTGCTTTTCGACCCTTTTATTGTTGTCAATCGTGTAATTTCCTTTTTCTTGTGGGGATCGTATTGAAACCCTATTCATTATTTCAGAAGGTATTGAATAGCAGTGAAACCAGGAAAGCAGCTGTCAAGGGCTCTCACTATTGTATTTTCTGCTTAATAAATACGTAGTGTCGATCGATCAACTAGTTTTTACATTTTAGATCAATTCGAAATTCTGGAAACTTCAAATCAAATAGATGATTATTTCTATTCCGTTCTGGTATCTAATGTAGATTTTAGAATTTAGAAATTACTTTTGTTGCGATTCTGTTCATGGCTTCTTACAAAATTAAATTTAAACTTTTATCACTTTTTACGGTGCTTTTTCGATATATCGCGTGTCTCCGCCAACAAATATTTTTAAATTTGTAACATTTAAAGTGTTATTGTTGCAGTGATAAGCTCTCAAAACACATCAATCTTGTTTAGCAGAATAAACTTCAAAAACCAATTTCACACTAATTTTACATCGTATTCAATAAAAATGAAAATATAAGAACTCGACTCGTGTCGAGTGCCACTTCAGGTGCAAAATTTTCTACATAGAATAGGTATATGTTCGAGTATTTTGTAGTAGTGATTAATAGTTTCTTGTGAATATCAATTACGCGCTTCTATTATTAACGCAAATGGACAACCAATCAAATCTAAATAATCTTGTTGATAAGGGTACGATTTGTATTGACTAAATAAATATTTACTTGCATAAATGCTACACCACACAATAATAAATATTTGATATTCAGGTCATAAAATATTGAAATAACTTTTTAAAATTAAAATAAACTGATAATAATAAGCAAAAAATATAAATGAAATAACTTTGGTGTTGCAGAATTTACAAAATGTGTACACGGATTTATTTTTGTTATTCATCAACTATATTAGCTGTGTTTACATTAAAAGCACACTGTTTTAAACGTAGAATGCATTTTAATGTTCGGTTTTGTTTGTCCCACGTTTTAATACAATAAAAATGTAATACGTATTTTTTATAAATGTTTATCTATTTATAAGCAGCTATAAATTTTGGTTGGATAAAATCTACGTAAATAGCAACCCTCATTTAAGCCTTATAACTATATTTATATATGTATCCTTTAAAAATCTGTCCTTAGTTTGTTAGATACTAATCTAAACTATGCTTGACAAGATATGATGTTTATAAATTGCTATTAAAACAATAGTACTGTTTTATAAACATAATATAAGTAATAAATGTTATTTTTGAAGTTTTGTATACTGAGAAACAAAAGTGAAAATATCCCTCCACGGAAAATATATATTTTATTTTGATATTGAAATCCTCCCTATTTATACGTTATTCTGAATCGCCATTTGATCTTTCCAGTTTCACTGGAAGTTATAAGTAGTCTAATATGTGTAATTTTTTAACTCAGATTATTATGCCTAGTTTTCTTAGTCATTTTCCTATTTTCTATGTATTATTTTTAACAAAAAGCGGTATTTCTACCAAAACATCAAAACACAACGTAAGAACATCACTTTTTTAGAAAAATGAGCCGATTTTCAAGTTTTTGTCGTTGAAGTTTGTTGAGTTTGAAAAACAGCCCATTGAGGTTTGTTCAAAAACACAAAAAATTGAGAAAATGACCTGTTTTTAAGCCTATTTTATCTATTGAAACATCAATTTTTTATGGCCTTTTTAAAAATGTGAGCCAGATTTTTATGCTAAAAATAAGGACAATTATCCTTTTTTATAATTTCTTAAAAAATATGAGCGAGACATAACAACTGAATACTGAATCAGTGGTTTCTGTTGAAAAAAAATGCATAGAAAATAGGAAAATGACTAAGAAAACTAGGCATAATAATCTGAGTTAAAAAGTTACACATATTAGACTACTAAAATTGAAAATTAATTAGTTTTCTAAGTCTACATCAACCAAATAAAGAAATATCTAGCATTGAATCTGTTATGTTTATTTTTTTTTCGTTCTCAAATTTATAGGTATATAACTTTTAGTCGTCTTCGCCGAGAAGGGGCTGCATGGTTCGGTGATTGTAAATTGCAGCGATGGTCATGATGACTCAAAATCAAACATGTAAGTTGCAGCGATGACCAAATCTGGGGTCCAGGTAACCTAAGTAAATTGGATCGGACATCCCGTTGTGCGCACTGCCCAGGTAGCAGATACCCTGATAAATATGTAATAAGTGTTTTGGGATAATAGAGCGATTCTACTCGTATATACAGTTATCTCCCCCTTGAGCGGACACTCCCTAATGTTGCTAAGGCTCTCAGAAAGTTACGATATTTTTTTCATGTGATTTGAACGTAAATTTTTTTTTATAGAAAAATAGATTAATCGAATTTTTAACCCGTTCAAAAATTCAATGTCAAATTTACTTCCTTAACTTTTGTGGAGCAGGTTATTTGAACAACTATAAACTATGGCAGTCATCGACAATTTAAAAATTATTTTTACTTGTATTGTTAATCCATTTTCTGAGCAGAATGATTTACCGAAACTATCCAAAAATTTGCTCCCATAAATGAAATGCTCTTTTAAATAGTAAACAAAATAATTAGACTTTGAAAAATTTCCCCTACATGATGGACAATTATCATAATCTCCAGGTACTGTTTGTTGATAAGTTTAAAAATAAAATATTGATTTTGACAACTACATCTGATAAAGATGGGTGAGTAAATTATTTTTAAATGATTACTCAAATTTTTATGGAATTCGATTTTTAAAATTTCCACGCCAGTTTGGTCTTCTATTTTTATGATTCAGTGTTGGATATTTCTGTATTTGCTTGATGTAGACTTGGAAAACTCATTGATTTTCAATTTTAGTAGTCTAATATGTGCAACTTTTTAACTCAGATTATTATGCATAGTTTTCTTAGTCATTCCCCTATTTTCTATGCATTATTTTTAACAAAAACCACAGATTCAGTTGTGACGTCTGGCTCACATTTTTTTAGAAATCATAAAAAGTGTAGTTGTCCTTATTTTTAGCATAAAAATCTGGCTCATATTTTTAAAAAGGCCATAAAAAATGATGTTTCAATAAATAGTTAAAATGGGCTTAAAACAGGTCATTTTCTCAATTTTTTTTGTGAACAGACCTCAATGGGCTGTTTTTCAAACTCAACAAACTTCAACGACTAAAACTTAAAAAATTGACTAATTTTTCTAAAAAATATTTAGGAAAATCTGAGTTAGAAAAAAGAGGGTTAAAAATTAGGGTAAAAAGTCAAATTCAACGTTGTTTTTTAATGTTTTTGTAGAAATACCGGTTTTTGTTAAAAATAAGGAAATAAAGGAAAATAGGAAAATGACTAAGAAAACTAGGCATAATAATCTGAGTTAAAAAGTAACACATATTAGACTACTGATGTAAAACATTTTCCATAGAATTCTCTAACTGGAAATCGCTCCGAAACATTTGTGTAAAGTTTATAAAACATAAATTAATTTCAGCAAATGACATCTTCCTGTTTAGCATGTTAGAAAACTAATTTTTTGTTATCCAAGCTTTTAACAACTGTGTTGAAAACAGCTCCATTAATAAAATTGCAATTTCTTAATAACTTATACATTTCAGCTAATAACAAATTTTGATCAGCTTATTGCAAAGATGGAAAAGTTAACTTCGTTGAGAGAATATAAGTTTCGGTTAAAAGTAAAACATAGTTTATTACTTAAAAATCAACATTGCTTAATTAATAAAAAAAAAACAAATAGAGAACAAATTCAAATATATATTTATTTGAATCTATTCTTGTCATCACTGTATGAACCGTATGAACAAATAAATTGAAGTCAATTTCAGCGAAACATGGTAAAAAATGTAAATGGTATGACATTAAAATAATTTGTTTCAGTCCGAAGCTTCTCCTTACCATGCTCACTTATCAGATTCTGGTAGTGGTAACCTGGAGGTCCCGAACAACACAGCGGTCCTCCAACGTTCCTTATCACCATCGAGTGCCGTATCAGCCGAAACCCTTAGTCACAGTATAGGTTCCTCCCGTGCGAATTCCCTTCCTCGTCCCACGAGTCCTTCCCCATCCGTGGCCTCGGAGAAAACCGAAGTTGACCTCCAGGAAAAGCAGGAACGAGAAGAAGAGGAACGGAAGAGACGTATTCAGCTTTACGTGTTCATTTCGAGGTGTATCGCTTATCCTTTCAACGCAAAACAACCGACGGATATGACACGACGTCAGACCAAAATCACAAAACACCAATTAGAAACTATCACCGCCAGATTTCAGGTAATGAATTGTTCTCTCTCGACAAATTTCAAATTAAATTATTCCTCTATCTAATTGGTTAATCAACAAGAACGAACCAATTACGTCGAAGCGCCCCCTCCCATTTTATGATTGCCTTTCAAGCACATATTTAATGGAAAAATCGACCCATTTATCGCTTGGTTTCAACCTTAACTGCCAATTTCAACTCCCGATCAAATATCCATGCTAGGCTCCTTCTCATATTAACCATAAAAGCGACCCCTTCCATCGATTCACTCAATTATGATCATCATTGATCATTAAACCAGAGAGAAAGACCCGACCGAACATGGATTACGTTAAGATTTCACTGCGCTTTTTGCTCACGCGAATTAATTTGATTGAGTTTCTAGAACCGTTTCAATGTCTTTAGCTTTACATATCGCAACCAAAACGAATTCTTTGTGTTACTCCTATTAATGAAGTTCCTTTGTGCTGCAACTCCTACAGTTCTATTATTTAGACTAAAGGCTTCGAATAGTTTTTTCATCCAAGATTATATATTTAATAACTAGGAAAATGTAGTTGTAGAACTTGTGTGATTTTCCCATTTTATTTTCAGAGTTTTTTGAAAGGGGAAACTCAAATAATGGCGGATGAAGCTTTCCAAAACGCTGTACAGAATTACTACGATGTTTTCCTCAAATCGGAAAGGGTAGTCAAAATGGTGCAATCTGGTGCTTGTTCGCAATATGATTTTAGAGAGGTTTTTAGGAATAATATTGAAAAACGCGTTAGGTATGTTTTTAGTTTTTATATTTTAGGTTTAATTTTTTTTCTGTTAGGTCTTTGCCAGAAATGGAAGGTTTGAGTAAAGAAACCGTATTTACCTCATGGATGGCGAAATTTGACTGTATTCTAAAAGGTAAGTTTTTTAATCAATTTTAAAATTACATTTCAAAAGGAGGACATTGACGTTAACGGTTAAATAAACTCGTATCTCATTCAAAACTCTTCTCTGCTTACAAGAAATAAAATCGATTTCATCACTATGGAGTGACACCAAAAGCTGTAACGTTGTGACAGGTCATTCATTCTGATTTAGAGTAATATTTCACAAAGTAATAGTAAAACCACGAAACAAAATAGCAATTATTTTTTAAGTTTCTCTATTGTCTGGGTATTGAAAATTTTCTTTAATTAAAATGATTGGTTTTGTGTTGGCACAATTGAAGTAATTGGTGATGTCACCGGAAAATGACGTTTTTTTATCGACCCCTTGTTAAATTAACGGAATAAATGGGGTTTTCCGTCATTTTCTTATTTCTCTTTTTTGAAGACCGTTGTGAATTTTGATTTTGTATCTCACAGGATTAGGCGACGAAGATTCCAAGCGGCCTTCTAGAATGCAACAACAATCTTTAAATTCGGAATTAATTTTATCCAAAGAACAACTATACGATATGTTTCAACAAATACTGGGAGTTAAAAAATTTGAACACCAACTTCTTTTTAATGCTCTGATGGTAAGGATGACTCCCGTTAAAACGCTACCTCTAAATCTATCGATTTTACAACTGTGAGACTATTTTAGCTTGATTCGGCTGACGAACAAGCCGCTGCTATCCGGAGAGAGTTAGATGGAAGAATGCAAAAAGTAGCTGAAATGGAAAAGGTAAATTTCATTTTATTGTTCAGCTATATTTGATCGAAAGACAACATGATTAAATGTACTAACGTATTGGATCTTATATTAAGGTCAACACCGTTGGGGATTTTCGAGAAAACAGTCTTCTTTCATCAATTTCTGTTAGTCCACTAGCTATATATTGATAACGTAATCTAATCGTGTGCGTTTGACACATTTATGCAACACAATTGCTTACGCATAGCTAACCATTCATAAATTCTGCTCACCTTTTTTCAGACATATTGACTGTATAGAGGTAAACAAAAACAGGCAAAAAAGGCTGTCGCTGTTTTCACAATTGTTTCATCGCCCACAATTATTTTTGCTATATACGTTTGTACACCAACTTAACAAGATCAAACACCTACTCGGATTTGAAGGGTGCCACAATATATTCCAAAAATATCTCAACAAATGCCTACACTTAACTCAAACACAAACGCGATGTCAAGCCACTAGAAGCTCACGTTTTTGTATTGAATTGAAAGTTAGGAAATTTTGTTTTAAATTAGCTATTTTTCCTGAAATTTTAATAATTTGTATACAATGTATGTTGTGAATTCTTGGAAAATAACATTTTTTATCAACATATCTCTTAAATATCTCTTCTGAAGTTGTAGTTTTAACTAAAATTAAAAATAACAAAGCTATAAATAAAATGGTGGATTAATAAGTTGATTTAAAAAACAATTACTTTTTTATTTTCAATAAATTTACATTAATCTAGTTTTATGTTTCTGGAATAGACAAAATTTGCTATATTTTAGCTGCTACTAAAATGAGTTTTTTGGAGTAGTTGCAGCCACCAACTTACTTATTGACTTGACAATTATTTTGTCAAAAAATTTATTATAAGAAGCAAACACAGATCAGAAATAAATGTCCGTGTCTGATCGTGAAAGGAATACCGTTCATTTAATAATTTATTTGGTATGGACGGCAAAATATTTTATTTCTAGATATTTTTACTGACATCACTTTGTTAGCTAATCGCACTGTGAATTACTTTGCAACAGATGCGTCAGTTACTAAGTTGTCTTCTAATTACGATTTTATATTTGATGTTGTTATATGGTGGATGCGCCGGGCAAATAATTTGTACGGTACACAGGTGTTTCAGAACTCGCACCCCAAAGAAAAATTTTAAATAAAATAAGATACCACAAAAACGTAAAAAATATTTAAAAATTCTGTCAACAGTTTTTGCCATTTGTTTGAAAATTTCACATTTTTTTGTCTATTTAATGTTACTGCTGATCTTGTATATGGTTTTTTGCCAATAAAAGCCACAAATAACATTAAACATAGTTAGACAGTTTAGCTTCCTTGTTTTCTCTTCTAATAGCCTGTAGCAAAACTTGAAAAATAATTTTTTCAACAGTAAGTAAATAGAGTCAAAGTGCAAAATTTAAGCTCCCATAATTTCGAAATTTTTCTAGATAGAATTTTTTAAACATTTTTTTTCTTTGTATGTTACCTTAGATAACATTTTTTTTTTCTCTGAGACTCGAATTCTGAAACACCTATTATTAGAATTCATCGTGTGTTTTTAATTAGAAATAATACGATTTTGTTTAAAGTAATTAAAAAACTAACAACTCAACGCAATCATTGAGAAAATATTTTATGCACCTGATGAATACAAACACCATTTGTTTAAACCGTGCTATTAAGTCACTCTTTTTATTTTAAATTTAATGTAATTTTACGATTGAAAGCCGATTTAATTTAGTTTTAATTAAACTCAAATAATGGTACTCAGAATTAACAAAGTTTAGACAAATGTTTTACGGTCTAATTTCTACAAGAACTATTTTAATAATTTTAACTATACGAAGCGAGGAAAAAAGTCGAGTTTGTGATTTATTTATCAAAATTGTAATGAAGATTTAATTTGGTATGTTTTATAAATGACAAATTGGTGGATGCGCCGGGATCAGAAATTTATTGCATAACAATTTATGTATATTGTTTAACGCATTACTAAATGCTTGGATTTTGGTTTGCTATTTTATATATTCGGTTTTATTTGAAATTACATTTTTTGACTTTTTCTTTCTACAAAGTTCAGTGTAAAAAGAAAGATGTATACGTTGAAGGAAAATAAAGATTTTTTAGTTGTACAAATTAGTTGTAAAGTTGTTTAGTTTGTATAAAAAAGGCTCAAATTGCAATAGCTGGGGTACATAAAAATAGACTTTTGATGCGGTTCAATTGATGCTTGTTAGAGTGTAGATATTTGAGAGAAGGTTCGCGAGGGGTGTTTATATTTACGATTGATTGTGAAAGGTAAAGAATCATGAGTAAACAGTTCTATTTTTAGTTGAATAATGTCTGTAAGTAAGGTTAGTGAAATTTGAGGAAGGAAATATGAAAAATTCGGTCATCGCGAAATGTTAATCATGTTGTCTTTTTTTTTAAATTTCTATTTGTTAAAAAAAGCGATTGGATTTTAGAACCGGAAGTTAATGCCGAAATTTGTACTGAAAGAAATGGAGTCTTTGTACATAGAGGAATTAAAGTCATCAATAAATTTATTGATGGCAAATCTTGAATCTCTCCCCGTTTCAAAAGGATCGATGGACTCTAAATATGGCTTGCAAAAACTAAAACGCTATAATCACAGGTTGCATAACCATAATAATCCGTATAATGTGAAGCATCTTTTGATGAATTATGTTACTTCTTTTAGATCGCAAGGATCTTTAGCAAAATTAGAAGGAGATTCAGCTGACAGTGATACGCAACTGACAAAACTTGATGTTGTGTTAACTTTTCAATTAGAGGTAATTTCATTTTAAATATCTCCACTCAAATGCCATTTACAGTACTATTACATTCACGACCATATTTCATTCTCCTCTATTCACGCTCTCTATTCTCTTCCAATTTCTTTGACAGCCCTTCTCTCACGTATTATTAAGACGCTTTTAGTTCTTATGCCACTTCAAGATCTCGTGCACTTGTTTTCGATTTTATTGACTTTGGTCTTTACACATTCGTCTGCCCCCTTTCTGTGTGCTTTCATAACCAGCTCCATCATCAGACGTAAATAATAATAATAATATTTTCAATAGCTTAAGCACTTGGTATTAATAATTGTGTGGACAAGTTGATCGCTCCGCTAGCGCTATCCTTCCAATCCTCCGCAATCTCTCAAAATAAAGTCAGTGTGCGCCATAACATAATTGTCTTTCGCTCGAGGCTCTTCAAACACGTTCTCTAGAGTCGCTATTTTAGGTAATAGTAATGGAAGTAAAAGGTTTAAAATCTCTAGCGCCAAATCGAATCGTGTATTGCACTATGGAAGTTGAAAACGGAGAAAAGTTACAAACTGATCAAGCTGAAGCTTCGAAACCAATGTGGGACACACAGGGCGATTTTTGTACGACCCATCCTTTACCAATTGTCAAAGTAAAACTATACACTGAAAATCCTGGAATGCTAGCTCTTGAAGACAAAGAACTCGGAAAAGTCATCCTCAAACCGACGCCCCTGTCATCAAAGGTATGAAAATCGAACGCCTCTTCAAACACTTGGCTCGATGTTTCACTCAACCTAACAAATGCACGCCAAACCACTTAAACTGCGCTCTAAATAAATTATCGACGACAACATTTGCATATGAAACGCAAAGCTATACTTGCGCTTTGCATTTTAACTATACCGAATCAAAGCAAAACATCAATTTATATTTATTATTCAATACTAAAACCTCAATCTTGCAACAAGTTGAGTTGGTTAAAGTGCATTTGTAATCGGAAACACACAACTTTACACATTTTTGGAAAAGTCGGGTGTGTTGTAGTTCTTAGCTACGTAAACAGGTCAGGTTTTGGATAACAACAATCAACACTCACGAACACCAACCCACACGAGGAACAAACAACCTTGTGAGATCCCAAAACAATTTAAACTCAGTGTTGGTAGCTGTGTTTAATAGTCCAAAAGATAGTTCTCGAAAAGTTCAAGTTTAGTAGATGTTGGCAGCAATTGACGAAATTCATTATGCATTCAGAAATTACTTGACTTATTATTGTCTTAGAAACTATGCATTCAAGCAGCTCACACTAAACGTACTTGCACTGCAAAACAGGGTTTAGGTTGGATAGATGTAATAGTTATTTACAAACTAAGACGGGGAATTGAAAAATATTTTTAAGACATAAATATAAATTGACATGATATTTTTTTCTTTGTGTGTTAAATTATGCTATCAAGCAGTAAGCTATTGCGAATCAAACTTGAATAGTAAATTGCTGAAGAGGTTGAAATTTTAATAGATTAATCATCATTGTTTAAACTCTACCAATCACCCTATATACATTTTTAAATGTTATTTAATTGCTTTGTTAAATTGTTAATTTCTGGATTTTGTATAATCGATAATGAAAAACGAATTATGCTTAAAAATAAAACGTAGGGGTTGTTTTAATTACTAATATTTTATACCTATGTAACCTAAACTAATTCAACAGCACATGTACAGCACTATTACACTTCACTTTAACATAATGAACTTTTTATTTTGTTTTGAAATTAGAATGCAGTGTCTAACTAAAACATGTGTCAAAAGATTGATAAATCTATAACATTAAGATGGTTAGACAACTCCTTTGTCTACAATTATCTAAAACTGATAACAGTTATTGAATCCGAAAAATTGAAACTCATTTTTATTAAATTTTTATAACAATTACTACATCACGGCCCACTTTTCCAAAACGCACAAACATACATGGCACATGGTGTAAATTGAAAAATAATGTATTTGCTACAAACGATTACGTTTCTCCAAACATAGGTACAGTTAAAAATTATTTTTTTTATTTTAGTGTGTACACGCGACACATGTTTTTGTCACACACTGTGTATTTGCTACTTTGTCCACTATGCATACTTTTTCGTTTTCGAATTATATTTAGGTCTTATAGTTAATAAAGAGTTGTATGAGTCAATTGTGGGCAAGATCTGGTAAACGATGGCTTTTCGTTTATGGAACCCGTATTATAATTCGCCTAAACTCACTTAGGTACCGGAGTGGCACAAAATGACTGTACCTAAAAACCTTCCCGATCAAGACTTACGGATTAGAATAGCATGTAGAATGGACAAGCCTTTGAATATGAAACATTGCGGTTATTTGTATGCCTTGGGGAAAAACGTATGGAAAAAGTGGAAAAAGCGATATTACGTTTTGGTGCAAGTGTCCCAATACACATTTGCGATGTGCAGTTATAAAGAGAAAAAGTCGGAACCTTCTGAGATGATGCAGTTGGACGGCTACACGGTCGACTACATCGAGGCTTCGAGTGGTAAGTCTAGTATAAGTTTCCTCGTTGAAAAACTATCGATTTCATATTTTTAAGCGAACTTAATGGTCGGAATGGGTAAGCGTAAGTTTCCTCCCTTTTTTCTTAATTCGGAAGGATCTGGAAGGGCTGACGTCGCGTTTTCTAGATTTGGAAGGCGGGCGGTATTTTTTTAACGCCGTTAAAGAAGGCGATAGCATTATATACGCGAGTGACGACGAAAACGAGTGCCACTTGTGGGTGATGGCAATGTATCGCGCGACGGGACAAAGCCACAAACCCACCCCTCCCTTGACACTGCAAGATAAAAATTCCACCATATCGAAAATTCAAGGAGGTATGAGTGTTTTACAAATTTCAAATGGATGCCTACAACCTTTTTAATTCGACCAAATTTCCTAAAACTAGTTTTTCTCTTTAATTCGCTTTTGAAATTTAGCTTATTTGCAGAAAAAATAAATGCTAAATTTAAATATACAATAATTTTTTGAGAAATTTATATTTTGTTTTATTATTTATAATTTTTTTAAAGAAATTTATAATTGCGACTTATTAGGCAAGTGTTTTTATGAAAATTTTATTCACTTTTAGGTATAACAGTTTTTATACACTTTGAGGTGTTAAGATTGCTTGAAACGCTCTAATTTGTTGTAAAATAGATCCGAATTTCAGAATAATTATCAGATGGTTAATTTATGACCGCGTTTTTTTGTATTGTTCCTCTAACAAGACACAAAATTTGGTGCTTCGAAAGAGTTGTAGATAAAAACATAATTTTGGGTCGGTTTTCCTTCCTATTTCTGCGCTTCGTTTGCATGCTTATTTTTTCCTAGACGCTGATCGAGCACGAAAACATGGAATGGAAGACTTCATATCTGCCGATCCTTGTCAGTTTGACCACGCGGCTTTGTTTAAACTTCTGCAAAACCTCACGTTAGAATACCGACTCAACGACCCGTACTGCTCTTTGGTAAAGACGTGCAAAAGAAGATGTAGGGATGTTAAGTTTGATTGTTATAGGGGTGGTTTAGCCCTGGCCAAGTGTTTGTTTTGGACGAGTATTGTGCGAGATACGGAGTGCGGGGATGTTACAGACATTTATGTTATTTATCTGACTTGTTAGATAGGGCCGAAAAAAATATTATGATTGATCCCACCCTAATACATTATAGTTTTGCGTTCTGTGCCAGCCACGTCCATGGAAACAGGTTTGTAGACTCTGACTAGGGCTTAGAAAGTGCATCGATTAATTGATAACATTAGCAATGACTTTAGACCTGACGGCGTTGGAAGCGTCACCCACGAAGAAAAAGAAAAATTTCAAGAAGTTAAGGAACGATTACGAGTTTTATTAGAAAACCAAATTACCAATTTCAGGTAAAAATCATTCAGATATACATGGAATAGATACAAACATGACAAAAACACATTAACACAAATGGACTACAAAAGGAATCATGGATGCAACTATATATTTATATCTCGTTGTATATTTTTTCATTTCTCTAGATTTATTTACAGATTGTTTAAAAAATTACATAAAAAATTATTTCCGAAAAATTAAAAAAAAGTTTCAGGTAACAGTAAGTAACAGGAATTAGTTTTAAAATCGTTTTATCGTAGCTCAATTTTGTAAATAGTTCACAAACTGATTTGATGATAGTGCTAGCTTCTGATTCTTTTAAATAATCTAGATTAAAATAAAATAAATGCATGACGATTTTTACAGTAGCTGATTTAGTTTATACAATTTTCAACTCTTGAAAAACTTGACTTGCTTTTAACTTTTTTCCATTCTAAAAGAGTTCAGGCATAAGCCGTTTCTTTTTTATTAACGCAATTGGCAGCAGAAATAATTTCTTAATATTTCTCTCACCAAAGCACCAACAGTTCGATGCCTATAATCTAAATTTCTACTTTTAACACACTTTACATCTAAACACATTTACACTTCTGACTGTCAGCATGATTGTTATGCCTAAAATGGGGTTTAGGTTGCTTACTTAAGCCTCAGTTAGATTTTTTGCATTTTAATGTACAGTTGTAGTTTTCTCAATAAAATTGCGAACCTAGCTCAAAATGTTGAAATTCTGTTTCAGATTTTGTTTTCCTTTTGGGAGACCAGAGGGCGCCTTAAAAGCAACTCTTTCATTATTAGAAAGAGTGTTAATGAAAGATATCGTTACACCAGTGCCTCCTGAAGAAGTTCGCGGGATGATCAAGAAATGTTTAGAAACTGCTGCGTTACTCAACTATACTAGATTATCTTCAGAAGCAAAAATAGAAGGTAAATGTGCTTTTCTCTCACCCACACTATTTACTATTTTAATGACTCTGTAGAAGATTTAAGAGGGGAAACCATGGTGCCACCCAGCAAAAAATTAGATGATTTAATTCACTTAGCTGAATTATGTGTTGACTTATTGCAACAAAACGAGGAACATTATGCCGAGGTGAGTTCTTTTTCTATCTTCTCTTTCAATAAAACTCAAATAAAATTTACCGCTGCAATTGTGCAATCTACCGTACCAACTCCTTAATGTTCTTGTTTATTGGTTTACGGTCGTCTTTAAACTTTCTTAGCAAAGTTTAAAATCAATACTGACTGGATTTGATTGAGATGTAAGCCATCTATTGATTTCCCACTTTGGCATCCGTGCAAGTTCGCGGCTGACGTCATTTGTCTAGGCTTCTATGGAAATTTTCGATCATTTAATAAATATTTTATCTCACATTACTTTCTATTGAATAGTTTCTTTTTGAGACAACGGCATCAAAGATTGCATCCTTGCAACAGCTTTCACAAAAACTTGTTAAATCTTTTTGACGCTCGAAATAGCGCTCAAGAAGATTCAAATTCTTTGTAACGTTAGAAGGAAAATCATCAGTAGAACAGTGTTTCTCATAAATTCTCGAAAATTGGAACATTGGTTATTTATGGTTATTCGTGGATACATAAATAAAATTTTATGGTCTACTCAAAAACTAAACTTCGAAAAATTTGGATCGTTGAATTTATTTAAGTACTCACCTTAAAATTTAAAGCGAAGTAGCAAACCCTTTTCATAACAAACAAAGTTTACACATTTAAATTCTTTTACTTACACATACTAACAACAAAGTGTAATTAAACTTTGTGTGCTCGACATGAAATAAACTTATTAAAGAAATTATCTTAAATTATGCATCACATAAGTAAAATAAGTAGTATAATTAAGTTAGGGTCAACGTTGCTTATTTTTTGTCATTACATCATTTCGACAAAGAAAATCATAGTTACAAACAGTGACGCACTCAAACTTTTACATAACTATTAATATATACTTAAAAATTAAAGTTTTCACGCATACCTACCTATTTATATGTATGTTTACAACTTTTATAGAGAAACAAAAATCTTTAAATTGTACACACACTTTGTCAATATTTGTATATGTTAGTTTCTTTGGCCCTTCTAACTGTTTTTTCTGGGTGCGTAGATAAGAATTATAACAATGAACACAAAAAAGTGTACTTCAATCACTTTGCTTGAATTTTTACAAATATTTTATAGAAGAAGCAAGAAGCATTTTTTTATTGAATTGTAATGTAATGTGCATATCCCAACGAGCACAATTAAGTATAGTTGGAAAATTTTAAATGGTCATCTTGTCCAACTGCAATTTTCTAAAGATTAGCTGTACAATTTGAGAAATACTGTCAATGTTCTTGTGTATATGTACCTCTACCTACTCGTATCTGTATATGTACAGCTTGTTCGATGTGGGAGACAAATCGCCAAAGAGCGTTGTTCCCAGAGCTAGCTGTCAAAAATGTGAAAATGTACTATCCACTTGTACCAATTGTATTTGTACCAATTTAATGTTGTGTGTAATTTTGTGTATACGTAGCAACTGCGCAAGGCAGACCGGCAACCGTCGCCACAAGCCGCAGCCTCGGCGGGCACGAACGCTTGTTCGGCCACTCCGGGCGCTCCGGGCAGTCAGGGCACTCAGGGCCGTGATGCCAAGCAGCAAAACTCTGTGTTCCGCTATTGCATGCCTCAGCATGCCACTTACACCCCACCAGACCCCACGGCACGTACATCTTCTATTTCTTTATCTTTTTTATTCTGAGTAGGTATCACCAAACAGGAGTGGAAAATTTCAACACACTCCTGGCTGGTGTAGTGTTATCAGAAATTGGATTCACTGCAAGGAAACATCAACTGGACCTTGCAGGAAATGCTTGCATTGCGTCAACAGCTTTCTATACCACTAACACTTTTCATCAAAACTGTTACAGTAGAAAACTGCTGATACAAAGAAAACAGGTGCCGACTGATTAAAACGGTCTGTCACTACTTTCATACAACAAACATTCTCGGTGTGCTACGCGTCAGGTCGAAATTTTGCTGTTGCTTGTGACTGTAGTGTGGTTCTTCCATATCTCTGATTCACACACCAAGAAATTAAGTAAAGTAACTAAATTTCTAATAAAAAATGGTGGATGCGCCGGGATAATTTCTTCTGCTTAAAAAAGTACCAAATTAAACCCAACATAGCAAAAAGCACATTTAGATCTTGATTTTATATAGTTATTCAAAAAAATACGCACTTCTTATAACTTTATATTTGAGTTGTTGCAATAAAATTGGGTTAGAAAATTCTTGTTACATTATTAAAAAAAACGTTTACGCATTATGAGTTTACTTTAGGAAGAAACATTTTTCGAAATAAGTTATTCTTGGTGAATATTATTAGTAATAGACTGTTGCATTCGTGTACAATTTTACCTGTTTAAAGAATTATCTTAAAGAATGTAAAAATATTTACATCAAGTATCTACTTGGTTTCTTGTGTGTATCTATGCTCATTTCCGCTGTTTGGTGTTGTGTACCTCAGTCAGCGCCTGATCATATTGCATGAATGTAATTGATGTTCCCTCGATAAATTTACAGGGACAATTTGGATCTTATAATTTTTTTGACTTCCACGTCAAATAAATAATTTAATTGTTTTTCCATGCAGGCCTTTGCGTGGTTCAGTGATTTATTAGTCGAACACGCGGAAATATTTTGGTCCTTGTTTGCCGTCGATATGGATAGAGTCCTGGCTGAACAACCAGCAGACACATGGGACTCCTTTCCACTCTTTCAAATACTTAACGATTATCTCCGAACAGATGGTAATACACTATCAATAAATTTAAATGAATGCTTTTGATGCAAGTTTCTAGACAACTTGAAAAATGGGCGGTTCCACCAACATTTAAGAGACACTTTTGCACCTTTAGTTGTACGTTATGTCGATCTAATGGAATCTTCTATAGCTCAATCGATACATAAAGGCTTTGAAAAGGAGCGATGGGAAATTAAAGGGTAAATTTCTGATGTTAAGAATTCTTATCACTTGTCTGTCGAACTTTCCAGAAATGGTTGTGCTACTTCCGAAGATTTGTTTTGGAAATTAGATGCTCTGCAATCCTTCATCCGAGATTTGCACTGGCCGGATGCCGAATTTCGCCAACATTTAGAACAACGTTTGAAATTAATGGCGTGTGATATGATAGAATCGTGTATTCAAAGAACAGAAACCGCGTTTCAGCAATGGTTGAAGAAATCTGTCACTTTTATCTCGACGGACTACATTATCCCATCAGAGATGTGTGCCATGGTTAACGTTATCTTAGACGCTAAAAACCAATCGTTAAAGTTATGTGCTGTTGATGGGATTGACGTTCACCAATACCACACGAAAATCGACGATCAGATCGACAAAACCTTGGCGAATATGAATCAAGGGATGATCAGTAAACTCATGTCAGTGTTAGAAGCGACTCTATCAAAGCTCTCACGATACGACGAGGGTAGTTTGATTGGTTCGATTTTGAGTTTTACGGTGGGTGTTTTTTGGAAATCTATGTGTTTTTATTTGAGTCTTCCAGAATGTGTCTGGATCTGGGAAGGACATGGGTCAGGGTTATGTGAATTTCACGCGGAATTGTATGGACCAGATAAGGGGTAAAGTGACGGATGAACTCTGGATTCTAAATTTCTTCGAACAGTGGTACACCAGTCAAATCAACATGCTTTGCAATTGGTTATCAGAACGGTTGGATCACACTTTGCATCCATACCAATGTACGTGCCTTGCCCATATTGTAAAGGTAAGTCATAGATTGTACTTTTCACACTTTCGATATTTTTGGTACCTGCCTTGATTGATTTGACCAAAACTTGTCTTGCAGAAAATCTACTCCGATTTCGAACTTCAAGGCGTAATGGAAGATAAGTTAAATTCCAAAGCTTACCAAACCATAGCCCAGCGAATGCAAACCGAGGAAGCGACATGTGCTCTTACCATGGGACAAGCAGAAGGGTAAAGTATTTCAATAAGGGGTGATAATCTTGATTGTTCATCTTGTTTAGTGGAAGTGAAGGTATAGACGAAGACGGAGATAATCGCAGTAAGACGAAAGTTACGATAATGGAAAGTCTTAGTGGAGAAGATGGTAATTATGTCTCAAATATCGGAAATATGGTAGCAGGAAGGGTCGGCAATATCTTCGGGAAAGGATTAGGAGGAATCAGTACAAAATTTGGTGGTGGAACAAGCAGTTGGTTTTAAATTAGCAAATTTTTATTATAGCTTATGTTTTCTCACAAGGGTTACAAGAATGCTGGCACTGGCCTGATATTGTGATGGTCCGTTTTTTTATCTAGATGAAATAATTTCAAAGCAATTTTGTACCGTTTGTTGACATTTGTTGACGTTCTATACCAATAATATTGTTCGAAAATATCCAGTACTAAGCACTATATTCTTTATTTGCCACCACTATATAGTTAATCGAATGATCTCGTTATTTTGTGTCATCGAGGCACTACATCTAATTACATTAAGCCTTCAGGAACACACCATTTGAATTGGTACAATAAATAACATTCAGTAACAACGGCACTGGACTCGGAATTGCGTATAAGATTTATTTTCATATTTATATCTTACCAATTTTGTATATATTAGATTCTAGTATGCAAGTTACTTATTGCTGTTTCCTAGACCGTTAATAAATTTTTATTACATATCAAACAATAAACTGTTCCAATATATTTTATGTGCCATTAAAAAAATCAGTTAATTTTTGGTGTAATTAAGGCGGCTATAACTTTTTATCGGAAATTTATATTATATATTGTAGCAAATAAGGTTATTCATTTGGTTGTACAAAATGTTTATAGCGTTGTAGGGTAAGGGGTGCATTTGATAATGAATCGAAACGAGTCCAGTGATGTTGGTGAGTGTAGTATAAAGATCGCAATTTAACAACGTTTTCAGTATCTTGAAGCACATTTGCTATAAATAGCATTGCGCATATCTTTAGGAATGTATTGTTGTAGGCATAATAATTGGATACTGAAAATGTTTTTGTTTTTAAATCTGTAATTTGCTTTATCTGCTGGCATCGGTTTGTAAAGTACGGTTAATATGGAGACAGCTTATATATCTCTTGCTATAAGTTACTATGTTGTTCAGTTAAATTTTAGAATAAACTGATTAAAATAACAACGATAACTAATTGAAATTTTTTATTGTAAACTGCATGCTGCTGCTGCTAATATTTTTAAAATTCTCTGTAGCTCTTTTATCAGAAAACATTGATGAGTACAAATTTATCATTCGTATATTGTAGTATAGATATCAAAAATTTTGATGCGTAATTTTTGATAAATGTGAATAGGTGACGATATAGTCTTAAATTAATAACTCTTCATCACTTCATTATATAATAAAAGGGTATATCCAATTGGTTGTTAAAAACTTTAAAGTTTAAAAATATTCCCATATAAGTGTATATAGAAATACAGATGTTCGTATTTCATAATTACTTACTTTATCTGCCTTTTCATGAACATCAAATACTATACTTATTGTAGGATATAACTGAATAATAGATGTTAACTGAATTTCATAGTAACTTGCTTTTTTATTCTCAAAATCAATAAATACATTCTAATTTAACTTAACTTGTCTATATAAAATAATTCATATTTTTATTTTTGTTGCAAAACGGTTATGGCAATTCTTAACACTGATTTGTAAATGAATGTTGGGCCTGTGATGTCGACAAACCAAAAGATGCTAAAAAAATTTAAGCCTATATAAATAATTATTTATAGGCTAGATAATATTGTTATGTTTAACTAACTTGTACTTACTGATGGTAAATAAATTGTTTTAAAAGATTAGTTTTTCTAATACCTGCTTTGTAATACCTACCTATTATTAGTCACACGACGTTTATCTATATGAATTTTAGCTGGTAAACAATAATTAAAAGCAACAATAAATGGAAATATTTACATAAAATTGAATCATTTCTTATATGTAGCGTTTTCTTTCTATTTTTGTAACAAATAAATTCAATTTATTCACAAATTTTGCATAATATTAGTCTTAACTTAAGGGCACGTAAAAACAATATACCTCAAGGCATCCATAAATTTATTGCTCATAAATCAAAAGCTCATAAATAAAATAAAAACAAAAAATTATTTAAAATTTTAAAACAAGTTGAATAACGCATGCGTAGTGTAATGTAAACATGTGTGACAGTCCATGAGATTTATGCTGAATCGTGTGTCACCACACCTAAGCCACAACTTTTAAATTCTGTTTTTTCAAATTGTGATACATTTGTGATTTAAAAATGTTGATAGTTTTATTCATCCCACTTTTTATAGTGGCTTTAATATTAAGATTAATAAAGCAACGAAGTCCCAAGAGCTTAGATAAAAGACATGTAGTTATAACAGGAGGTTCCAGTGGAATTGGCAAAAGTGCAGCTGTTCTAGCCGCCAGAAAAGGTGCAAACGTTACTATAATAGCACGAAATCTAGAAAAACTAGCAGCTGCCGAAAAAGAAATCAAGGGAGCTTGCATCCATAAAGATCAAATTGTCACAGCTGTATCAGTGGACGTTTCCAACAAAATCGGTATTCATAACGAACTAAATAACCTTGAGGAAAAAGTGGGCCCAATTTACATGTTGATAAACTGTGCGGGAATGGCGATTTGTGGCAAAGTTGAGGATTTTACAGAACAGGACGTCAATACAATGATCAATGCCAATTATTTGGGCACTTTGTACCCTATCCAAAGTGTAGTTCCAAGATTCAAAGACCGTCAAGAGGGAATTATTGTACTGACAGCGTCTCAAGTGGCTTTAATGGGCATGTTTGGATACTCAATTTACGCCAGTTGTAAATTTGCCTTACGAGGTCTTGCAGAGTCTATCAGTATGGAACTTAAACCATACAATATCTCTGTGACTTTAGCCCTACCCCCTGATACTGATACTCCAGGATATGAGAATGAGAATAAGACTAAACCTACAGAAACACAACTAATATCTGAAACTGGAGGATTGCTGAAACCGGAAGTTGTAGCGACGAAACTCCTCAAAGATGCTTTGGTAGTATTTTTAAAATTTAAATTTTAATCTATTGATTTTTTTTTTCAGATCGGGAAATTTTTCAGTTTTGTAGGAGTTGAAAGTTATATTTTGACCACTCTGTGCATAGGAATGACACCTTATGTCGACTTTCTTGAAATTATGGTTCAGTCAGTTCTTTTGGGACCATTAAGACTCATTGGCGCTTATTATTTACAAACATTTCATAATATTATTCAAAGGTGCTATCTACAGAAACAGAAAGACAACTAAACATTGTTTTATTTTTGTTTAAGTATTTCATATGTAAATTAGTAAAATTCTGTTTATAAAACGTTTGTTGTATAAGAAATATGCCGTTGCGTAGGCAACCAATTATACACGCTGCAACAATGCTAAAATTTTAAAACTGCTGGTCCGGGTTATGTATTACGGAAAAAACACTCGAAGCCTGTGTTAAACATCAATTTTAAAAAATAATAAAATTGCTTTGGAATAAAAAATGGCTCGTGTCACAAGAAGTTGAACAAAAAAAACGACCACAGGCACAAAAAATTTTGGTTTTTAACACATTTTTATTTAATTATTTTTTAGTTTGTTTAAATGCACTCAAAATAATTAAAAACAACTAAAACTAAAATACAAGTTAAAACACTACAAATTCAGTTATCATCAGTCGTTGGCTCGTTTGATTCATTATCTTGAATCTCTTGTAGAATCGACTTCTTAAACTCTTTTTTTAATACTTCCTTAGAGAGTCCAGAACTGATCTTTTTTGGATAATCGTATGTTGGTTTCACTGGTGTGTCACCCGATTTACCTATGAAATTAACTTCTCCTAACATGCCTTGGAGGTTTTCAACGGTGTGTTGCGAAAATTCTACCACCTTTGCAACGGATCGATTTTCATTCATAATAAAATGATCAAGTGAAGCTGTAACTTGGGTGGAGAAATCTGTAGTCACGCGAGTTTGACTTTCTAAGATGTCAAACGCCTCTTTTGTCATAGCCTCCTTTTTTGCAACAACTCCCTACAACACCAACATTTATTTGAGTCATCAAAAATCAATAAAAACCTTATTCTGTTCCTCTAAGCGTTTTTCAATAGTATCAAAAAATTTAGCGAAGTAACCTTGGTTTAGACGGTGATTTTGAGAAATCTGGAAAGAGCAAATCCTTTGGCTGTCCTTAATGTCTTCTTCAACTGTTTGATATTTCAATCTAAGCTCATTTAGTTGAACATACGCCTACAAGAAAATTAAAGTTAGGTAGTTAACTTATGATTAAAATCTTACCGTCTGTTGGTTGAAATTGGTAACAATGGTATTTAGATTTTGGTTGATTCTTTGAGATCTTTCTTTCAACAAGTCGACGAGTTCGGTAATATATCCTTTCACGTGCATTGCAGGTTCCAGTTCCAAGGACAAATCTTCTTCCTTGGTTGTAAACAATCTTATGAGTTGCTCCCAAGATTCACGTTCTTCATCATCTCGACTTAGTAAACGCCTAACTCGAATGTAACGTTTATGCAGAATGACACGCAAAGCATTCATTAAAGCGTAGAATTTATCGTACATGTCTCTTAAGGCGGAAAATTGTGTGCTAACATCATTGTTATATTGAAATGTTGCTTCGGCCAATGATGCTCTAGTTTCATCTATGTGTTCCTTTAATTTTCCAAGATCTGTTTTAATTATTCGAAAATTGTGCGCCACCAGTTTATGATTGGCACTACACGTGGACGTCAAAGTTGCTTTAGCATCGCGTTCTGTAAACTCCGAGTTCTTAAACAAAGTCTCAAATGTGCACTTAAGTTTCTCGGAAAAAACCGCTACTTCGTTAAAAAGTTGTTCTAAACGTTCCGAATCCATAAGTACGTTATCCTTGATGCGTGCACTGCTTATAGTTAAAGCGGCCAAATGTTCTTTTCCATTTTTTACAAACTGTTCTAGAGTGTTTTCAATTCCTCTCAAGTTCTTGGATGAAAGCGTGACCATTTCTTTAGCGATTTTTGCATTATGCAATGTTGCGTCACACTGAGAGTTATATTTCTGGTAATAGATCTCCCCAAGTTTCGTTGATGTTTGGTAGACGTCACATAAAGCTCTTGATTGTTGTTTCACTTGAGACAGATTATCACTCATGCGGACAATCGCATATTCACTCTCTTCCTGTTTGACGGTTTCCTCTTCCAACTCTTTTTTGAGAGTTTCCAATGTGGTAACAGACTGAAAATAATTCCTTCCCAACTCTTCAGCACACTGCTTTTGACTCCTGATATTATCATTTAATGTTGTTATTTCTGCAGTTAGACAGAGTACCCTTTCGCGTTTCACTTTAATTTCAAGCATCAGCTTCTCATAGCTTTCGTTATCCATAAAGAAGCCTTCACCTTCTCTGGCAGCATTTATCTCCTGGCGTAGAGAAGTAACCTCGTCTTCTAAATCTTTAATCATATTATCTCTGCGTATGTTTTTAACATTGTAAGTCGGGCAGTTGGAGACGCTTCTAGCCATATGTGCATAATCCAACGTACTAACAGTCTCTTCAAAAACGTCAGAGCAAGGAGAAAAAGTCGCAATAATGCAAGTTTTACTCTTGCCACCCAAACTATCTTGTAGGATTCTTGTTAGCTTTGATTCTCTGTAAGGAACATGTGGCGATTTAAAAGCAAGAGCTTTTATAACTTTTGCCAAAGTCAGAAGTGACTTATTGATGGTCCCTGCTTGTCTAGCACGCAAATCAGTTGCTCCAGAACGGCCAACGTTCTCACTTCCAGCCAAATCGATCAAATGTATTTTACCAGTCTTAACAATCTCTTCACCATTAGATAATTCGCGAATGGTAACGAGAATAGTAAAGATGGTATGAGAGCGTGAGCTTTGACGGTTTATGTTAGTATCAGCGATATGACGATCATTAGCTCCAATCATCAACATTTCAAAGAGTTCGTTACAATCTTTCACTGGTACTTCAGACACACCTTTGATACATGTTGCCCCCCTATTGTCCGGGTCATCATAGATCCTAAATAAGAAAAATAATTAATGATTATCGCCTTACAAGTTCTACAGATTTGTTAATTATAAAAAGATAAGCTACTCCCGTATGTTTTTATTATTTGTAGCTATTTATTTGTAATTTGTACTTTAATATTTATTATAAATTAAGTTTTGACATACCCCCTTTTTAAATGGCTCTCGGAGTTAGAAAAATACAGGAGTAGCTTATTTTTTTATAATTAAAAACAATACTTAAAGCCACAAAAAATTATCTCTACCTCAAACAAGGACCGTCAGAACATAAAAGATCGCGTATTTCTTCATTGTATATCTCAACATAGGAAACAGATACATTATATTCAACCCCAAGTTGCGATAGTTTATCAAAAATATCAGTTGCTGCCCTTGGTACCATTCCAACAGAAGGGTCCTGAAACAATCATTGTGACAACAACTCAACTGAGTTACCCATATTTACATTAATAAAATCAACCGACGTATTAACTGTGTCTCCAACCATGGTGTAAGTTTTGCCAGTTCCAGTTGGTCCATAAGCAAAAACGGTGCAAGTGCAGCCCAACAGCATCGAGTCAACCAAGGGGCGCACAACAACATCATAAACTTCGGCTTGTATAGCTCCACCCGCAAAAACTCTATCAAAAGTATAGTTTTTCTCATTTGCCCCACACTTTAGGACAAGTTCGGTTTGACTTGAAAATTTAATAGCAGAAGGCTTGCTGGCATTGATTTCACTCTTAGTGTAAGGTCTGTAATGTAGTATTTAAGTAATTAAGATGTTTTAGAGAAAATCCGCCGTTTTGACCAAAAAATCAAATTTTGGGGTTGTATCAAAAAATCTCACCGTTGTCTAACGTAAACCTGGATGCGAAATAACGGATTCTTGCGTTCAGCCATTGTGTAGAGTACAAACAGGTAATATTACCACTTTCCTTCTTAAAAACAATTAACAAAAATCGAACAAACACATTAAAACCAGACAGAGAATGATCGTTGCAAACTACAACAAACAACTTGTCGCTTTTGAAGTCAAATAGCAAAAGTAATGCCAACCCACGGCCACGAACGAAATGCACTAACAAAAACCGTTAACACTCCACTCGTGGTTAGAATTTAATTTTGTCAACAAAATATTTTAAAAATAAAATGATATAAATTTTGTAGTATTGTATAAATATATCTAAAGACAGATTTTATAACTGTGCAAAAATAATACAATTGTAGTTAAAAACAGCCATAAAACACTATTGTAATATTGGTTGCCTATAAGTAAAGCCTACGTGCAACGGCTAATGCAACAAAAATAATACCCAAACTAAGAAGAATTTTTACCACATTTTGTAGTTGAAACATTTATAAAACAATAAAAAAACCAAACACTTGCCAGTTTTAGCGCGTCATTTTGGGCAAACGTAGATGTCATTTTTATGTCAAAAATTGCAAATTACCCCAAGACTTATAAAAAGTAAGAAGATTGCCTGGTAACTTGGAGTGAAAGACATTAAAAAGCGAGTAAGATGGCTATATGGATTTTTGAGATTTTTGAGATTTTTATTTGCAGCGAAAACAAAGTATCTTTCAAGTTAAAGTCTTCTTTCTGTCGTCAATTTTGATTTTGAATTGGCTGAAGTTGATCACCTTATGCCAGATTTCAGATTGTGTTATTATTATTGCGTTGCATCTTGCATTATTTGCCACATCTTTCTTTATAGATCTTGTATGCTTCTAGCTATATTCTTAATTTTATTACTCAATATCGCAAAAACTATTCATCGTAGAGTATTTTAACCTGTTACATCGTGTTCAGCGTGTAATTTTACGTCTAAAAAAAAACAATATTTCAAGCACTTTTTGGAGTCTTTAACATTACTAAAAATGTAAAAAACGTTATATGGATCGATTTTAAAGTTAAAATTTTTTTGATTTATGTCGAGATTTTGGTCGATTTTTGGCACCCGGAGCGGTCCGGAACTCCGGACTTCTTGGTGATAACCGCTTATGTTTGGTATCATTGGAAAAAAAATAATTTTCTATTATATACAAAAAAGATCAGTGTTCTGCGATAAATAGTTATCGAGAAAATTTCTGATAAACAAATCAAACAAAATATTAATAAAATTATAAATTAAAACATTGCAAGTTTTAACAAATCAAATTTATATTTTTTTATCTATGTATATATTTTATTTATTTTACCCTTAATAAAAAATATTTTATCAGTATTTATTTTACGGAATTCTAGTTTTTTAACTTAATAATATGTTTGGTTGCATATAAACGAAACCACCAGTGACGTCAATTCGCGCGAATAATGCGCACACGTGATTGGTGCAAAGTTCTTACTTTATAAATCTTGAAATTACCCTTAATAAAATTCGCTTGTTTTAAATTACGCAGTGCTTATTGACAGTTTCTTTTCATTTCCTCTGAAGTGCAAAACACCCCCTTGTACGCTTTCGAGTATTCCATTGGTCAATTGTCGAAAGTCGGTTTAGTAGTAAACTGTGATGTACTGATGCTGTTTTGTTGGTAGCGTAACTCTGTAATTGATTAGACTAACTTTTAGTAAAAATAATTTTTAATCATTAATAACATTTAAGATTATAGATCCAAATAAGAATGTAACTGTAATAATTATTGTTTATAAAATATTTTTTTATGTATAGAACGCGTTTTGTTCAGTCAAAAAAAAAATTATGCAATTAAATATACACGTGTGCACATGTATGCATTTACTATAAAACAAAAATGTTATGCTTTAGTTATAATACGTTATACTTATACCATATATCTAAAGAACAGAGAATTAAAAAAAATGTTATAATAACTATATTTAAAAAAAATTACCTACAATTTTTTATTTTTTATTTAGTGTTTTTATTGTTTAATTATTAAATAAAATGCAATTTTGCTTGTTTAAAAACGGCTCACACTGACAGATTATCGTCGAAATTACACCAGGAAATGGACGTATTGAAAGTTGACGACTGTAGATGATCACATCAAAATTTTTCTAATGACGAGGCCAGATCCTCAAACGGTCACAATAGTGTTGTAAATGTACTTTTGTATGCGCAGTTTTTGCGCTCTAATATTTACAAAATATTGAAAAAATGTTTACTTTTCCCTTGTAACGGTTTATTTTGAAAACAGCGCGTCGCATCCGACCAATAGCGAGCGTTTGTATCATCTGTTGCCAACAGTAAGTTAGGAATATTTAACTTCTTATAAGTGTTTGATCTGTGTTCTATGGTGTCAGTCGCCGCTGGGAAGTTAACGATTAATTCAATTGTGTAGTTATACGTATTATTTATATTTTACTTATTGTACCGTATGAGTGAATTAATTATAATTGAGTCGTGCACACCCTCCCTTTAGTAATGGATCAACAGGACATCCTCCAAGTCGGGACTAGTATTAACATAAAACGAACCGATGGTAAGTCTTCATATTCGTTAAATTTAACCGAATTAAATTTATTGGGAAAGGTCTTGTCCCGATAATTCAGCCATATAAAGCCGAGGATCGATGCTGCTACTTAAAATTTAATTAGACGGAAACACACCAAGTGAACAATTAACACTTGAGGGCCATTATCGTTTTTTGTGTCTTTTTCATATCGACAGTAGCGTAAAAAGGTGTCTTTGACTAGTTTCAACATAAAGATTTCGCTAGATATTGAAAGGACACTGAATTACGAAAAAACAGAGCCTGTCCTCCCAACTGTCAACAAATTTGGAATTGTCTTAGGTATGTCTACAACAGTTCAATTACTTGAGCAGCCGGTTAAGTACAATGCAGTTAGAAAGTATTATCGAAATGTTGCTTTTTTTCTCGACTATTTTTGGGATTGCTCGTTCTAGACGGTTTTTATTCATGAATTCGTTACATTCTCCTTTTTTTCTCACACAATTAAAATAGACAATACACATTATAGAACATTCAACGCCGACAACACAAGTATAAAATTCACATGCAATAACTGCTCCGCATTTATCGATTTCGGTTTAAAAAAGTCCCATGTGTTTAATGTTTATGTGGGTTTAGTGATTCACTAAAGATCAGATTGTTATCCAAGGTATTCAAGTTATAGTAGAGTCGCTTTAATGAATCAATTATCAAAAGCGATCCATGTCCAAATAAAACCGTTTAATTAGACCACCATCTGATAAAAGGTTGGCGAAAGCCAGTGGTGGAGAAGTCAGAACACGCCGCAAATGGTAATAATCCGAACCGCTTAAAATAATAATATTGAACTTGTCTCGGCATGAGTCACACCTGTGCTGTGCTAAGAAAATAAATATTGATAATAACACCGTTGTCAATTAAAATCGCACTTTGTAATAAACCGATCCATGTTCCAATTAGGCGATTCAAACATCTAATTAAGTCAAATTCAGTTAAACTCAAAGACAAGGTAAAAAGTTGCATGTATGTCGGTGACAATTCATCGATTTGATAAGCGACAAACCAGACAACGAACCAATTTACGCGCAATTTACATAATCCATTTTGCAAAATTTTTCGAAAGAAACCCATTTTTCGGGTACCACATGACGGAACCATCGAGGACAGGGTGACGCAAACGTGAATACGATGGTACCTTATATGGTTTGTACAGTTGAGACAAGGTTGATCTACCTGGAATGCTCACAGGGCTATTTCTACTACTATCAAAAGACAATCCAGTGACCTACGAATTGACATTCGACATTTCCGAATTATTTACCAAAATTGTGGTTTTGTTAAGAAATATTCCTGCTGTTGTTCTCACTGACTTCATATGAATGAGTCATTATTTACTAACTTTGTTACTAATTATCAAAGGGCGATAACATTACATTTGTAATTTTAGAACTTCTACCAAATCTAGAAATAAATAGTAAAACGTCAATTTAGAGAAATTATTTTATTTAGAAGTTTCCTCTAGGGTAAAAATTGTTTCAAGTTTGTTATTGTTAATACTTTCGAATAAGATAGTTCGTAATAAATACTCCTGAGTAACCATTTGTACTTAAATATATAAAAAAAAATATTGAAAGTAGGCGATAAAGTTGTTTGCATAACGACTAGTCATCTCTTTTCCATAGTCGAATAAAATTATCAAAAACAAGATTTGTTAACATTTATTGAGCTTCTTGAGCTTCTAAATTTTTAATAATGACAAAAATATTGAACTCATTTTTTTTTACCAAAAAAGATTATATTTTGTTAGTCAACTATGCTCTCCGTTTCTGGCAACACTCACCATTGTATAGAAAGTTAATCTTTATGTCATTAATAATAAATAAAGGATAAAATAATTTGTTTTTGTTTTTCTTTTCAGGACGAGTACATTCTGCGATTGTCGCCGCGGTCAATTTTGACTTGCGTAGCGCAACGGTGGAATGGTTCGAACAGGGCGAGACTAAAGGAAAGGAAGTTGACATGACAGCCATAACATCTTTAAATCCAGACATTATAATTTTAAAGCCCGGTGAACGATACATCCAAGAACCTACTATACCACAAATCCAAACCTCTGGCAACAAATTGCAAAGAGTAAGGGACACATTTTTTGATAGGATGGTCAAGGTTTTTTTTTCGATGAGTAATCGTTTAAGTTACAAAATTATGTAACATTTTTCATTTTGTTTACATTGATCTTCTATACAAAAGTAATTCCGCCTATACAAATAACGTCACGTGGTTGACTTTTATGTAATTTTTTCGCGTTTTTAAAAGGTTCAATCACCTGCACTTTTATAATTAGTCCATTAAAATGAAGCTTTGAGGTGAATCAATTAGAGTAATTTGTTGGTCCTGTTGGTATTAATGGTATTGTTATTTTACAATGAGTTTGTCTCAAGCAGGTAATTGACCCCTCTCACCAATTGACGTTATTCATCATGGGTTTCTCTTGTAATGCTCTAATTAAAAAAACTCGATAATCTTATACTTTATTGTTAGTTACTAGCAATTCATGACATACGACAATTTTCCTCTTAATTGTCGTAGGTGTAACACTTATTACACACTAATAAAAACAAAGTGCAATAAATATTCAATATTTGTACAAACACGGCAATATTTATTTCACACCCTACAGGGTGAATCAACTAAACATCTGTTAATTTCATAATTAGTTTTTTTTCTAATTTTCGTCACACTGCTCCAGTTCAGATTAATTTTTACTTTTGTTCACAATTATAAAGTAATAATCAAATTACTTTGCATGTGAAAATTTGGAAAGTATGACATTTCAACTTCATTTTATTTCAGGTTGGGAAGTGATCACTTCCTTATCAGCTTTCGGGTTGGAAAGTAGACATTTCTCAACCGACTTTTTAAATTTTTTGTTGCTCGTTCAGCAACTTCCCTGAGTTCAGGAGAAATACATTTCATATTTTATTGTATCACTTTTAATATCGGACATTTTCCTACAAGGAAAAACACAAGCGACACGACGTTACTTTGACATAATTATGTTCTTTGACCAAAGAATATTTTATTTATTGCCTACTTAATAACAACGTTCGGTTTCAAAATTTGATAAATTCTTTATTGGCTTTATGTATGTTCTTTAAGGAGGATGATTGTGAATAAAGTAGTAAGTATAAAACGCTTTGGTGCTCGTTGCTTCATCGTATCTCGACTTATTAATCAAATTTCGCTTGGTAATGAAGCATCTTCCACCTATGTAATCTACTATTGTAAGCCCCATTAAAATAAGACTTTTTGTTAAATTGCACATTTGCCGAAATTAAATCTATTAGACAACTTTCGCCGATATTTTGTCTGCTTTTGCAATCATAGGAATCATCAAAAATATACTTGTGCGTGGGAACGGTGACCTCTACCTACAGTCCAATTTTTTTTGGTATCATTTGCAATAATTACAGTACCTGAAATTGAATAATAAGAAAACAAATTTGATAAAAAAATGTCTTCAGCCTGATTTTCACTTTCAACGCAAATCAAATGACGATTAACTATTTTTTATCAACCACGTTTGTTTTTTTTTTCATGTACATTAATTTGAAAACCCAGCAAAATATTTATATTTGTTCTGTAGAATTTGTTTTTTTTTTAACAATAAAAAATTCTTTAAGAGCTCTCCCAAATTCTAAATTTACTACAAAATTATTTAACACAAGCAATAGTGGTTAGAAATCAAATATGGAACTAAGTAAAAACGTAATAAGGGTTTTATTTTTTCACTTCGACCAAAAATGTAATCAACAAAAACAATTATTGTTGGCTCAAGTTAATTTTGTTACAAACAGGTTATACTTTTTGAGTTCCAATTATTGACAAATGTTTAGAGTGGGTTTTAGGAATTTTTAGTTAATTCGCAATAAAATAGATGGCGTGTGTTAAACTACTTTCAGTGGTACCTAGAATTAGGTTTTAATTGTAATATGAAACAGGATAGTTGTTATGCATGTGTGTGTGTGTGTGGTACCAGGCACTGGACTTGAAAGGGTTAATTGTACTTTTGAAAGTATTATTGATTGATCGTTTTACAATATGTCAGTTATTCAGTGCCAACACAAGCAATTTAACACTTTAAATAGCGATTTTTGCCAAGTTTATTCGTGTCCGTGTTGCGATAAACTAATCGAAATCTCTCTCCTTAATGCTGCTAATTATAAAAGGATTCGTCCGGTTCTTCTGAAGAAGAAACTAGTGCCGCTATGGCACAATCGGGACGTTTTAGCCATAAATTGGACGAAAGTGACGACGATTTTAATAGTAATCAATTCTCGTCGGAAACTGCAACGCTATCGGTATTGGATTTAATACATTTTAAAAAATCCTCGAGTGTGGTTTTAATTTTTGTATTTTGTGTGTTACAGAATCCGACAAGGCAGGCAGTAGCTAGCGTCAAACATAATAATGGTAAGTTTGTCATTTTAAGTAATATTTACAGAGAAGTAGGGAAAATTTTATCTGTGATAAATTATATTTACATTAAACGAAATACGAAAATTTCTCATCATGAATTACCACGGTCTTCTTTTTAATTCATTGTGATTTAAGTAAATAATCATTTTCTTATTATTTTTTTATTTTAGAAAAAATTAAAATACGTAATTTGAATAATGTAAGAAAAATTGGGCGCATATATACTAGTTCGCTCCGGCGGTCGGATCTTAATCCTTAAATTCTCCAATCTAGCGTTACTACAGATTTTCCTGCTCACAATTCAATGAATTATTATTAAGTTATTATTTATGTTATTGAAATGAATTTTGTTAGCATTGAGACATTTCCTAACAAGACTTCAAGATCTACTTTTAAATTGTTTGATAGCAGTCTCGTCTTCTAAATATCTTGAAAAAAATTTTGAGAAATAATACATTTTATCTAAAACACAACTAATTTCTATTCATAATTTACTAAATACTTACTGTTGCATTCAAAAATCACAAATTTACACACTTCACTTTGCGATAAACAATGAAATAAAAAATTAAAACGCACTGACCTTATATGGCATCTTCTTCTGTGTGGCAATTCGCCTCTGCTTCTTAAACGGACATATTGAAAATAAAGAAACATAATAGTACATTACAAGCGAGGTGGTAAATATGGCATTACCCCGAGTGCTTATGTATACGATCGAGAGGCGCTAGCCTCGAGATCGGATAAAGCACAAGGGGTAATGTCATTACCACCGAGGTTTGTATGCTATTTTATTCACAATCGCATTATTTTAAGTCAAAAATTTGAGTAAAATAAAATTCTAACAAAGTTAAGCTCCAAACGTGGTAGGCCATCCAAATGACGTTTGATTTTTGACATTTCAGAAATGTCAAAGAAAATATTGAAATAATGTGTAAATTTGATTTAAAGTCATCGAAATGGAGCAATGTACTCCCCCAGAATTAAGAGAAACTGCTACAAAAGCAATTTATACTAATTTAGTGAAATATTATGCGTAACTTGACAATTTAAAAGAAAAAATTTCAGGTATTTTCGTAATTTTAACGTTGGCAATCCTGCATATTACCACCCAAGAGGAGTAACATTTATTACTCTTCATGAGAAATAATGACATGTTTCCCAACCTTCAAAAGGTTAGTAATCGGCATATTACATTAGTGATTGTGAATAAAATCAGTTTAATGTATAATTAAATCGGTGGAAAATATAAACAAAAAAGTTATATGTTTTTTTCATAAAAAAAATTCAAAGGTATTGTTGACTAACCCGTTAATCCGGATTCTTGTAGCACGATTGCTTTTTCCAATTCCCTCATTGGTACTAATAACTCGAATTTTTAAAAACTGCGCACTACCAAATGTCTATTAGACACTCGAAAATACCCAACACGCACGCGCTGGTAATACAGCCCCCATTTCTACACAATTTCGCACTGAACCACGAAATAAGTACTTTATTCGGACAATTATTACAATTGCTTGGCTAAGACTGGTTCGTTATTGTAATAATTCCCTCAAAAACGACGGGATTCACAAAAACCCATTTCGCAACAGTGTCGTAAAAGATATTTGTTTGGGACTGGGTAATCCTGCAATTCACAACGTCAAAAAATAATTCGAATATCACACAGTTCCACGTTCACCATTTTTTGTGCCCTTTACAATTAAACAACCCTCAGATTTACGTGATATGGCGTTAAGATGCTTAGCATCTGATTGACTGCGGGATAGCGTCTTGATGCGCCCAAACATGAACTTTTGCCGAAAATTCTCTTTTGTTTAAAGGTGACAATGAAATTTTAATATGCCATTAGTTGATTTAGAAAAAGCGAAATGAAATTTAATTCATGATTAAACAAATCCGAATTAAGTTATCAGTTACTTTACTCTTTTAAACATCAAATTAATCGCGAATTAAAATTGATTGCAATTAAGAATGCTCTACTTTTTCAAAATGAAAATCTGAAATTTGTTTAAAACAAAAATTTGTTTAAGGCTACGCCACTGTTTCTCGCATCTCGAATTTAAACGTACCGAGGTTTACCGAGTTACTTTCTCGGCATGCACCAAACAATTGTATCTGATTGTAAAAAGTATATAAATTAATCTTTCAGCAAAGTATTTATTAGTTAAAAAATAATTTTGAGTGCATTGTTAATTAAAATGATAACCTTAGAACCCAGAACATGACATCTGACATGTTGACGGAAGTTATTGAAAAATTCAATAATTTTATCGAATAAATATAACGGTTAAACCACTAACGGAGTTTTTCCATACAACTCTTTAGATTTCCATGACCATGATTGTTAATATTTAATGATTATTGTTTTTTTTCGAAATTGTTATTAATCCATACAGAACACAAAATACTATAAAAATAAACCTTGATAGTGGCAGTGATACTTCTAAGTAACCAACTATTACTATATTAATCAATATTTCAAATTATCAGGTAAAAAATAAAAATAGATTTCGGCTAATGAGATATTTTATTTTCTCGACAAATTATCCATTCATGATTTAGACATTTATGATTTCGAGAATTTTTTTAACAAGGAGTTTATGTTTAATAAGCTTTAGAATTATTTGCGACTTGTGTATCGATTGATTTGTTTACATTGTTATACTGCTGCACAAGTGATAAGTTATGCTAAAATGTTTTGAGATTTTACTTTTTAACGATTTTGTCATTTTCATTAATAGTACCTATAATAAATAATTATTTGTGAAAAAAAAAACAATTAAGGAGATAACTTATAACCTTATACTTAGGTATAACTCAACTGTGTTATTACAAATTTGGGGTGAAATCGATCGTTTAACCGCAGGAATGATGAAGAAAAATAATTTGACCAACAGTATTACACACACACCTATAAAGAATTTGTCATAACATGAAACATTTTACACAATTTGCGTGTGTACATTTTTAAACCAAGTTTATAAAAATAATGTATAAATAATTTCTTAAAACAGAGTTGTTTTGTTAAATTTTATTGTCGTTTCTACAAAACTTGGCACTCTTAATAACAGTTAATAAAATGTCAATTACTATTAAATTTGTCTTATTCTCTGGAGTTTTTATAGTCAGACAATTATTAAGGCTGCAGAAAAAAAATCAAATTTTAGCAACTAGGTTGTGCCCATACACCGAATCCTAATTTACATTAATAAATTATTAGAAAATTACACATTCATACAATTAAAATAAAGAAAGTCATTTCAATCCCCTCTTTGTTTTTTTGAATTCTAATCAATTCCTTATCGACACTTTTTCTGTATTGTACAGTTTTTGGTATAGTCTTGAATCAGTGAAAATGTCGTTGGGTCGAAAGCATTCTATGAAGGGTGTGTTCCATTTAAAATTGGGTAAATATAATAAATGTATGTTTCAGGGTTTATGCGATCAGCGCAACCAACAACCCGGATTACTCAAAATCAGATATTAACTAATAATGGACACACCATGCCTTCTTCAAATGAATCTGTGCTCAATAAAGAAACTAATATCCCGACCACTCGTACTACTAGTGTACAGGTAAACTATAGATTTTTTTCTTTAGTACAATATTTTATTTTCAATATTTGTTAGAACGCACGTCGTAGTAATGTTGTTAAGGAAGTAGAAAAATTGAAGAAGAATAGGGAGGAGAGAAGACAAAGGCAAGCTGAAGAAAAAGCAGAAAAAGAAGCGTTCCTCCAGTTAGCCCCAGGGAACCCCCATTGGGAGTTGTTAAATATGATAGCGTAATTTAAAGTAAATCAAAATAACAAAGTTTTTTAATGTTTGTTTCTTTAGAGAGTATCGACGCGGTTTGGATATCAAACCGTTGACCGAAAACGATGCGATTGAAGATCATTTAATCACAGTTTGTGTCAGAAAGCGGCCTTTAAACAAGAAAGAAGTGAATCGGAAAGAGGTTGATGTCATCACGATCCCAAGCAAAAACCAACTAATTGTTCATGAACCTAAAAACAAAGTGGATCTGACAAAATATCTTGAAAACCAATTGTTTAGATTCGATTATGCGTTTGATGAAACATGCTCGAATGAAATGGTTTACAGGTGAGAAGTGGTCATCAAATAATTCAGTCGATATTGTGTCAATTTCTCTAGGTATACAGCTCAGCCACTGATCAAAACCATTTTTGAAGGTGGTTTTGCCACTTGTTTCGCGTATGGTCAAACAGGTTCGGGCAAGACCCACACAATGGGCGGCGATTTTAACGGAAAAAGTCAAGACTGTCACAAAGGCATTTACGCAATGGCATCAGCTGACGTTTTTCGACTTGCCAATTCGCCGAAATATCGTCATTTGGATCTCGTCGTTTCCTCAAGCTTTTTTGAGATCTATTCAGGGAAAGTTTTCGATCTATTGAACAATAAAGCCAAATTACGAATACTTGAAGACGGAAAACAACAAGTCCAAGTTGTAGGACTTACTGAAAAGGTCGTTTGTTCCGTTGATGAAGTTTTAAAGTTGATACAGAAGGGGAACCAAGCGCGCACATCAGGCCAAACTTTCGCCAATTCGAATTCATCACGATCTCATGCCGTCTTTCAGATTTATTTGAGATCCAATAATAACATGCATAAAATTCATGGGAAGTTTTCACTGATTGATTTGGCCGGGAATGAGAGGGGGGCAGACACGTCGTCGGCAAACAGGCAAACAAGTATGTATACTACATTCAATGTAGTGCGTTTAAAAATATAATTTTTTATTAGGAATGGAAGGTGCTGAAATTAATAAGTCGCTCCTCGCCTTGAAGGAATGCATCAGAGCTTTAGGTCGAAAGGGTGCTCATTTACCGTTTAGAGTTAGTAAACTGACCCAAGTGCTTCGAGACTCATTCGTCGGTTCAAATTCACGTACTTGCATGATAGCGATGGTGTCGCCTGGAGTGAATTCATGTGAACACACTTTGAACACATTACGATACGCTGATCGTGTCAAAGAACTCGGAGGTGGCGATCTTCAAACTAATACGCTTTCAGATGAACAGCAAGGAGACGGCGATTTGATGCAGCTACGGTCATTGAATGTAAGTCATTTAATTGTGTAAAACTCGTGTGCGATATTTGAGGGTTGTAGGAAAACGACATGACACCTGAAATGTTGAATTTTCATCAAGTCATATCGGAGTTGGAAGTTGCCGAAGAAAATATGTTGGATAATCATAAACAAACAACGGATGATTTATTAGCAACGTATGAAAAAGCCGTAAGCCTGCTTAGAATGACCGATGAAGTTACTTATGATCAAGAAGGTAGCTTGAACTTGTTTGAGTTTGAATAAATTTAATAATTTTGTTTTGTTTGTTTCAGCATATTGTAAGAATTGGGAAGAACTAATAAACAACACTTTGGCTTACTTGGTGAGGTCACAGGAGATAGTAGCAGATTATAAAGCGAAAATGTCAGCTGAAGAACAACTAAGTCGTAAAACTAAGAGAAAGTAATCACAATTAAATCTTGTATAGAAATTCCTCTTTAACCCCCTCTATTATTTCTGATTGAGACCTCCCAGTGTAAGATTCATAGTATTAATGCTGAGAATCTTTATCAGAAATAATAGGTATAGTATAAGACTAGTTTTGTTTATTTATCATGTTTAAACTATTTAAATTTACAAAAAAAAGAACTGCACGCTTTGGAAACGATTTTTTACTCTTAAGCTGTTGTTGTTTTCTCGTTTTATGATACTAATTTTTGTATTTATTACCTTTTTTTATTTTTGCAATTAATTTATTTGTAGGCCTCTTAATAGGTGGGACGTGGCCGTAACTTATGCTTTAATAATTTAAACTAATTCGACTTAAATGTCCATAGCCCGCATTTCATTAATTTACAATCATTAATTTATATTAAATATTAGGCTGTGCTATATACATTTTACAACAAATGCAGGCTATCACTTCACTTTGTTTCACTACATTTAGTGCTTTAGTAAAGTTAAAAAAAGTCATTAAGGTGCATAATTTAAGAGGCCTTTATGAGTGTATTGTATATTGTTATTTGAAGGTTAAGATGTTTTTCTTTTAACTTTGTACCTTTTAAAAATTCTTTTACTTGTTTGTGAAGCCTTCAAATGTAAATGTTATTAATTCATTTGTATTTCATAAAATTGAAGATTAAGTTTGAAAAAAATCGCAGTGCGTTTGCTTTAAAATTTATAAAAATACATAACAAGCTTGAACATTCATTATAATTACTGTAATAAAACTACTGCATTATTACAAATCGTTTGATTGCAAACTTTCCCTCCAATCGTAGCCAAAACATCATAATTAAACCCGCTTTATTCACAATTAAACTATACAATATAATTTACAATAAAACATCAGTCAAGTCAAAAATGGAGTTGGAGTCCCTTCTGTGCTATCACCATCCAGCACTAACATTTGTGTACCATGAATATACATATCTAGAATTTGTAATGTACAATGTGCTATAAATCGAACAAAAGGTCGAACATCCCCAACATTAGCTACATTTAGTGCATCGTAGTATCTATCCCTCTGCTCTTTTAAAATCATAATCGGCGGATAACCACCACGGAGTAAAATCAAATTCATTATTAAGCGACTTGTGCGTCCATTACCATCAACAAATGGATGAATATCGACTAGTTTGTAGTGAGCTAAAGCGGCATAACGGACAGGATGCATGTTTCGAGCTTCATCTGAATTCAACCAATTCACGTAACTTTCCATCAAAGCGGGGACTTTTTCTGACGGCGGGGGAATGTGGCGGCCCACGAACACCTAAACAGAATTATGTTCTTACAAAAATGTTATTACACTAATGCATTTAATTAAATTAACTTTTGTTTTTTCATTATGGTACTAAAAAAACTCACTTTTGTATCACGAAATATGCCAGATGTTAGAGGATCAACGTGTCCCATTACTCTTTTATGCATTTGAAGTATATCATCAACAGTGATATACTCCTTCCTAGCCAAACTTTTCACGTATTTGAGGGCCAACTGTAGTCCGAGTACTTCATTATGTTCAATTATACTTTTCCCTTGGATCACCTGACCAGTTTCTAGTAAAGTCCGCAATTGCTCAACTGTCATGGTATTACCCTCAATTCCCACAGTGTGATAGATGTGTAAATAATAAGCTTGTTTCTTTAATGTTTCAAAATTGTAACTATCAAACTGTTTTTTTAAGTAGTCTTTTTTCTTATCTATACTTTTGAAAAGCTCCAAGTCCAGTCTATCTACAACAGGTGATGTTCTTTTATGATTGGTCAGTGCGGCTGCATGTGTGGGAGAGTGGGTTAATGCCTGTGGGAACAAATTATTAAGTAACTATGGCAGTTTTTATGCATTACTTTGAAGTAGAGCTCATCCGCGGTCACGACATCGTGTCGAATTTGTTCAAGGAATTCCCCATACCAGTTTAGGACGTCTGGATTATCCGGAGCGATCGCAGTTGCATGTTCTAATAGTTTCAAAGCCTTGTGATTTTTTCCGGCCAGTTGGAACCCTATAGCCGCCTGTAGTATATTCAAAACTTCCGAATTCGACGATTTCACATTAAAATTTCTACTCCCATCTAAATAACTACTACCAGTTGTTGGCGTATAATGGGATTCAAGAAGGGCGTTTAAATTACTTAAAATAAAGTTGTCGTTTGAGTGGTCTTCAATAGCGTTAAACGTATAACTTAATGCAAAATTGTTGTTGGAGTCTGTCGCAATTAAATCCTCAAAAATTGGTGCATAACTGGTTTGTTTCTTATAGAAGTTGTAATTTAAATAGTAATATTGTATAACAGAAATTAAAATACACAATAAACAAACTAACACCGAAATTATAAAAATTACAATGTTACAATAAATCTTCATATTATGTATCTTCCCAAATTTTACGAAACAGTTCGAGATTTTCTTCCATTATAAAACATAGAATGATAAAATAATTACACGTAAAACAAATAATATTAGTTTAAGGTTATGTCCTCCCACATTTTGACCTGTCAAATGGTCGCCAGTGCTCGGATAAAATCGGACAAATGGTTTTGGAGGGGATAACAAAGCCATTTGAATCCTCAGAAACTCAAAAAGGCAGTGGCGTATCAACTATTTGGATATAAATGGCAATATTTTTGTGTTAAGTGAGTTATAACAGTTTATAAAAATAATAAAACAAAAATAAAAATCTTGATTTTCTTTAGGAAATAAAATCACAAGTTTATTAATACCATAGGTTTTGAAAATTGTTAAAATTTGATATTGATATTAATATGTCACTAAACAATAAGCAATTAAAAAAAAATTCATCTTTATCATCAAATAACACTAAAAGTTTACAAAACATTTGTGAACATCGATCTTCTAAACTATATGTAAAAAATGACGCGTGAATTGATTAATACATTTTTTTCTTAACAGATGTGACCCACTTTTAGGTTGATAGAGTCGCTCATATCATACAGAAATTTTGCAAGAAATAACCTAATCTAATAGGTCTAGAGGCTTAAAAGCAAGATTGTTAGAAACATTTTTAAACATAATACAATTCATATTAACTTATTTTTTTTTTCTATTTGGAAAACAAACCAATTTCAAAATCTACATTCCTATGTTTCTTTAACAGCCTTGAGTGATTTTTTAAAGTTGGGCTAAATTTAGAGTTATAAACTGTGAATTTAAAAATAATTTGCGTCAATTGGCAAAAATTCAAATTCAAATACGAGTCGCCTCTGGATGCCAAAAATAGCAGTGCTTGAGATGGCGAGTGTACGCACCTTCGTGACAGGTGACATGTGACGTCATTAACATTCAATAAAAGAATTTAGCAAACTGCAAGTGTTAATTCTAATGACAAACAGATCAATACGATTTGAAATCAATTCGTTTCGCAATGTTTGCCATTGATTAACAGCATTTTTCGTGATCATGACTAAATAATATGTATAAATTTTCATATGTTATTATTTATTTCCTGAATACTTGTACACCTGCACAATGTTCTAGAATCAAATAAAAAGTTCTCGTCGTTGTCTTTGGCACAATTAAATCTCATATTGACTGATCAATTATAGTCTGAAATATTAATTATAGGAGAGGTTTCGTGTATTTTTTGTGTGCCTGCTTAAAGAGCAATAACTTGGTAGAAAAAAATGCAAGCCCGTTCATTGACTCCTGCAGTATTGCCAAATTGAAATATTTAGCAATAAACAAAAAACCTTGAGTATGACTTTTGCAATGGAGTAAGTGCAGTAATGATGTCACAAAAGCAACAATGTGCATGCATAGGTGCATAGTTGCATTATAAATGCATCAAGGCCTACGTGTGGAAAGCAATATCGATAATAGAGCAGGTAGAAGTTCGAAGCGAACGAAATTCCGTAAACTATCAAAACTGTCATCAATGAATGATGTTGGGTTGGTAGTACTGTCATAGCACTTGCGCGCTTAACGTGTATGTTTGGCGATGGCGTGTTTTTGCTGTGTGAAATCTATTTAATTGTTAAAAAATGTGTTTATAAAGTGGTTTAGTTAGTTCAAATGGTGTTCATATTTAGTGTTAAGGGTTGTGTTAGTTGATATCGACCCATGTGTGCGCTGGAATTGAAACTGCATTCTCCGGCGGGGGCAGAACCAGTATTATACACTTGGCCGTTAACCTCAGGACGAGGAAACGTAAGATAATAATTAGTGCATTTATTTGTTCTCAAAACACACGAAGACAACCAACAAAACAACAAATTCGACCCAAATTCAATCCCAGACAAGCTCCTCCTTATCATTTATCAGTACCGAGACACTCCGCGATATAATCAAACGGTACTCTCGTCATTAATGATACTATTTGTAATAGTTTTTCTACGATTTCTTGGATTTATTACACATGGTAGAGTCCACAATCCAATGACTGGTCATTTTGACGAAATTCACGTCATTGGGGAACTCACGATGGTATTTTCGAATTCTTAGCGGGATTCAACAAAAATAACTTGTTTACATAAGTTTATTTAAAAAAACTACACTAAAAATACATCACCTCGTGGAAGCAATTCGTGGGAGTTTTCGTTTACATACTTAGGTACCCGCAAAAAATCTCAATCAGTATGAAAACAAATGGTTTCAATTATCAAATAATTTAAACAAAGAAACTTCTAATATCAAAACCATTCAAGTGATAATCAAAACACGTGCTCGTTTGTTTTGGTCTAGTGTCAATTTTAACATCTCAATGTCAGCTAACAAATCGCTGATTTTTCTAATATTGTGACCTTCTCTCGATTTCACAACACACACATTGTCAAAAAATACAATCATTTAATTGATATTGTTATAGGACAAACATGATGGTGCCCTTGAAATCGTCGAAACCATCAGGTAAACGTTTCTAATTTGTGTTGTATTTCCACACTAACACATTTTTTAGATGGGTCTGTGAAGATCTGCCGGAGCTTAAACTGCCGTTGGAAAACAACATCCTCTGTGATTATGATACGAAAAATTACGAGAGTATGAAAAACCTCTGCGATCGGTTTAATCGGGCCATTGACAGCGTTGTTGCTTTGGTAAGTTTTTCATTCAAAACTGTAGACCTGGTAGCTGTTTCCCGCTTACAACTTCAATTTTTCCCAGTAGTAGTAGTCATTATCGAAAATGATAGGGGAAATCGTAAGCATGCCACTGTGTTTGTTTTTATGACAAATTATTAATAAATTCGAATGTTCGATAAGAAATTCCTATCTAAAACCAAAACTGTTAACTTGCGTATGTTTAAACTGTTGTCATTATTACTGATAAAGTTATTAAGCATTATTTTTCATTTCTATTTATGACGATTTTGTTATTTTTTACCATTACTATTGCACCATCCTGCATATCAACAAAACAAAAAAATATAATACCTTGCTGAGAATAGGCAATCGATTGCGACTGCACATAAAAGTCAATAATGATTAAGGAGGAAATTTTAAAGAAATATATAATTTATATTGACTATAAGGGTCAATAATGTGGGTGATGTGTGCCAATGTGTTTTTATCAGTGTTTTTTTTTTGATAGGTAAAAAATGTACCTTTCTCTTATTTGATAATAAAAGTACACCTTATTGAGTGATAATAGACTTCCAATTAGTTATCAAATAATTGTAACTCAAAACTGTAACGTGACATATGTATTTCACATTGACCTTCAATGTCATCAACCATAAAAAATCACAACTTGCAGTCATTATAATCTATTAAATAATGACTTGTTGCATCTCAGAAGTTTTCAAATAACAAATAAAACTACAAATTATATACTCTTATATACTGAATATTCCAGAAGATGAAAAGTTTATTTATCTTAGAAGAATTTGCTTACAAATTTATGTTTAATATTTGACTGCTCATGAATAAGTAATTAGTGTTTAAGAAACAATGATAGATGGGTCGTGAAATAGGATACTTTGTACATAAATGTCAACTAATTTTATTTAAAGAACAAAATAATGATTATTTCAATTAGTACTTATCAAATGACGTGTTGTTGTAATACGTGTCGAAATCTATTTATGTCGTGTTAATCGAACATTTCTTTTGATTTATAAATTTTCAAAATATTTAAACTTGGATCAAAAATGTTTGAAACACTCAGCATTGACTTGATAATGTAATATTGTATTGTTTGTACAACGGTGTAACTGAAGAAAATCCGTAAGTATATGGTGTTGTTTCTGTGAAATTCTGAAATGGAATTTTCAATGGAAGCTGAAAAAACTGTTAGGTGGCAACAAAACAACAGCTTTATTGAATTTCACTGAAATGACTCGACTTTTGTCAGTTTTAAACTTAAAAATTGAATTTTCCTTTAGGAGAAAGGAACATCGCTGATAGCCCAAAGGCTGAACAAATACCCGTCCAGAGGACTACTTCGCCACATCCTCCAGCAAACGTACAACGCCGCCGTTACCGACCCTGAAAAACTCAACCAGTACGAACCCTTCTCTCCCGAAGTTTACGGCGAAACATCCTACGATCTAGTCTGCCAAATGATCGATCAAATCGACGTTACATCCGACGATGTGTTCATCGACTTAGGTTCAGGAGTAGGTCAAGTAGTTCTTCAAATGGCTGCAGCAACGCCTTGCAAAATATGCTTCGGTATAGAACGAGCTGAAGTTCCAAGCAGATACGCTGAAGCTATGAACAAGTATTTCCGTACGTGGATGTCTTGGTACGGAAAGAGATACGGAGAGTACAAATTAATAAGGAGTGATTTTTTAACGGAGGAACATCGCGAGAAAATTAATCAAGCAACGATTGTTTTTGTTAATAATTTTGCATTCGGGCCAGCTGTTGATCATCAGTTGAAAGAGAGATTTGCCGATTTGAAAGATGGAGCTAGGATCGTGTCGTCGAAGAGTTTTTGTCCGCTGAATTTTAGAATCACCGATCGAAATTTAAGCGACATTGGGACTATAATGCATGTTTCCGAAATGACACCAATGAAAGGATCAGTTTCTTGGACGGGAAAACCAGTCTCGTATTATTTGCACAGGATTGATAGGACGAAATTGGAGCGTTATTTCCAAAGAATGAAGAAACCACAGCTCAAAGTAATTTTTTATTTTTATTTTATTGGTTGAATAAATAGTGCTACTGACTCATTTGTTAATAGAACGGTGACGATAATGACAATTCACGTAGTGCTCGTGAAAAAGCTAAGAGAGATCTTTCTAAGCAGCTGGGGTCGTCATCTGATTCCGACTATGATGATCAAGATAGCAATTACGGACCTACAACACGGAAAGCTTGGTCTGATTATTGTTCTACTAAAGGTAAAAGTAGTCAATCAGAAGAAGAGGGTAACAGTAAGGTAAGTATTTTTTGATAATCGGAACCAAAGTTGCTAATCATTATTGTAAAAGAATGGAAAGCGTCAGCCGAAGAAACTACGAAGAAAAATACAACGGGGTAAAAATCAAGCAAACGGTGAAAAACAACAAAAGACAGGTCCGAAATCTCGCAGAGGAAGAGTGAAGAAAGGTAAACCAAAGAAGACGATCAAAATCAACGGTTTGGATCTTCTACACAACGAAACATTGCTGAGTACATCTCCGCAAGGTATTTTTTATCTCCTTTATAAATGTATCCAAAAGTAATAAATTTTATAGCAATAGGTAAAAAGCTTCCACCAGCACCTGGTTGCGTCGACCAACAATTAACAGCATTGAGTACTGAACTTGTTCACAATGAATTAGATATACCTCAAGCTCCAGCAAGTACACCTTATGGTCTCCAGATTCTTTTAGATATGTTTAGAGCTCAATATATGCAAATGTTAAATCAAATGAAACAACCGACTTATAAAACCAGCGTCGAAAATCATATCAAACAAGAAAAAGAAAGAAATAAAAAACTGCAAAATCGTGCTGCTCAATTGGAAAAACAAATAAAGGTTTTAATCGATGATAGTGTGGCACTTTTGAAGGCCCGTATGAGCGAACTCGGAATAAATGCGACATCACCTGTCGATTTATTAGCAAAAGCCAAGGAAATTGTTTGTCGGCATAAAGAACTTCAAGCTAAAGCAAGTAAATTACAAGGTCAAGTCGCGAGTTTGGAACAAGAACAAAATAATCTGGTTAATCAACGGCAACAAGAAATTGTTGAAAAATACAACGGAAGAGATGCTTGTCACGAATTATCACCTATCGCGACGCAAGAATATATTTTACGTGAAATATCGTCGACCTTAGCACATCGGAAAAAACTCCACAATCAAGTGTCACGTCTAGAGGGTGAACTATTATCGCTAGAGAAAGCAAATGAGGAAAGAAAACAAGCACAGGCTCTAGCTTCTCGTCAACAACAGACCAGTACGAAATCATCGCGGAAGTCTCGCGAGTATAGAGCCAGGTCACAAGATTGGCCCGACGTACCTGATATTGCCAAAATCGAAGAACAAAATCCGGAAATTCTAGCACAGAAAATATTAGAAACGGGACGCAAAATCGAAGCCAGTAAAATGTCAGCGAATTGTCGTAAAATTAATCTAGTTCGCAATAACATGCCGGCACCACTACCAGTATCAAAACGGCAAAAGACAAGTTATTCATTACCAACGCAAAACAATACTTCTAGGGCCCAAGAACCACCCAGATTGGCCGATTTTGAAGATCGACTGAAGAGTATCATAACATCAGCGTTGAACGAAGATCAACAAAACCGAAACCGTGCCCAGTCTTCTTACAATCAGCAGCAACATCAAAATTATGTCAATTTCCAAAATCAATTTGCTAAAAATGAAGATAAACACAAGTTTGCGAAGTACAACCGATGTGAAACTATCGTTAAACAAAACGACGATAATCGCAATTTCGTCCAACAGGAAGGTTTAGCCGGCATGATGGAATCGTACAGAACTGAAGTTCCAAAAGTGTCACCACATGTTTCAAGACAGGTAACGGCGGAACAGCCCGATTATACTCAAGTGTCTCCAGCAAAATTGGCATTGAGAAGACATTTGTCACAAGAGAAGTTAGCAGCACAACATCACAATTTTAATTCGTCGGACGGGATTGTGGCGACGAGAACTATCGGGGATTTGATGTCCGGTGAAATCGAAAGGACGTTGGAGATATCGAATCAGTCAATCATTAATGCAGCGGTTGATATGAGTGATATTCAAGGTACGACGACGTTGACATCGAGATCAGTGGTTAATGTGAATCTTCCTCCAAGACCGGAAAGAGTCAAGGTGACTAATAATGAGATACAGAAGAAAACGGAACCGATGAGGCAGGTTTATAGTCCGATATCGAGGCCGTCATCCACTGAGGGTAAGCACATTTAGATGTAGTCATAGTTGATAGAAAAAATTCAAAAAACACTTCAAATTAATTAAATATGGACAATTTCAGGTTTGGAAGGATTAGCATACACCCCGCTTCCTCGTGCCGACATCCGACCATATCATGAGTCTTACTTCACTGACGTCAAACCGCCGATCGAAGGCGAATCACCAATTCGCAACAATTTCGTCGCTGAAGGTTTGGCCGCGAGTTTACAAGCACGTGTTTTGAGTGGGCCTCAAATCAAAGAAGAAGTGGATGTTTATGACCGAAGAAGTTGCGTACAACAAAACATGTTACCAACCATACCGTCATATCAAGATCAGAACGGGTCGACCATCAAAAGCGAAAGCGTCAGTGATTGTCAGTACAAAAGAGAGTCGCCGATTATACAAGGACCGATTCGTAATTCATTGAAACGAAGTTTAGTGGATGACGTTCAAGAGCCACCACGTGTTAGAAAATGCAACGAAGAAGGTAAGAAGAAACATAATATAATAATTGCTATTAGTTTTGTTATTCTTTGGTATTCAATTAGTGTAGCTTATTTTTCATTATCCTGTTTTGGTTTAATTATTTTATGTAGTTTTTTAGAATTTGATTGAACTTTTGTTAGAAATAGTGGTGTTGTTTTTTATTTGTTGCTTTTGATCAAGTTACTACTAACACTTCAACAATATACCGTGTCATTATATTTTTAAATTTTGTATTATCAGAACGATAGCTTTAATTACCAACACTAAAATGCAAAAGCTTTTTTCGTTCTTTTTGCTCTTTCGTTTGGTTGATTTGACTAAGTTTTAAGAATTTATTGCTTTTCTTTTGCCATAACTTGTATTACTAACAGATTTTACATTAAAAAAAGTTTTATTTTACTTCCTATATTTTTGTGACACTTACTTTTTTTTCATTGTAATATAATTATTTTTGTTGGAGCAGTACCAAAGTACAGCGAAAAAAGAAAATATTTCAGATTTTTATAGTTACCTGAATTGAATATCTCAAAACTAAGAGACAAACATGTTTCTATGTTGATTTCATAATAAAAAAATCATCTAATTTTAATAAAAACATTTAAATTTAAAAGCAGAATAACCGTTTATTAATTTTATTGTTGATGTTGTTTTGAAACTAAGGATGTGTCGAATCGAAATTTAAATGAAATGGGTTTGAATTTGTTTATATTGGACTGAAGTTTATGAGAAAACCTCTCATTGTCGCGTGGTGAAAAGTTCGGCAATAAAGGAATTGAGAAGTGTTTACTTCCCTTTTGATTTTTCTCTTTTTCAGAATCATTGCTCGGACGTGTAACGGCCATCTTCGCTTAGATTTATTGCCGAATAGTTCCTCACTCGTCAAAGAGACTTTAGCACATACGGTCTCAGACGTATGCGCATGCATTTGGTGCTTTTAGGTGATAATGAAAGTTGCGGTTCAACAAAAAGTAAATATGGTACAGAATTATGTTTAGCTCTATGTTTATTGTTGTGATTGTGGTACAAATCGGAAATATTATTACTTTTTACGTTGCTACCTTGTGGGTATTTACTGCGGTGTGAGAGTAGCTTAAAATGATGCTTTGTGCTTGTTTTTTTCAGCTTATTTTTTTTTTTAAATTCTTTTTATTTTTAGGACTTATAAAATACTTGTTGTGGTGTTGGAGTAAGTTTAGTTTAGTGAATTAGTGAAGCAAAAAAATGAACATTATTGCACGATTAAAACTTTTGTCTTGTAGTTTCGGCCATACTAAATTTGGTACGAAAAGTTTTTCGTGTTATAATGGCACTTGGTGTTGAAATTCTTATATTTACTGTAGTTTGTTTGCGTTGACTAGGAGGCAGCACATTCAGGCATGCACAATCACACGCGCACAATATAGCGCATGCATAATACCCCTACCATACTAGATTTAGATGGCTGATTAAGTTTGGTGGTAAGTAGCTTTGCGCTATTATTTTAATTTTGCTGAGCTCTCTTAATAATTACTCTTGGTGGTGGTATAAGTTTGATTCATTTTTAATTCAGATCCCACTTGATTCGTTGATTTCATTTTATTATTTCACAGTGTTGGTACTTAATGATTCAATTTGTTTATTTTTGTGTTATTATAGGCTTATAGCCTACACCCCCCCCTTAAAGTATCCAAAAGCAATTTTAAGACTTTGAGAAAATAAATGTCTTGTTTGTTTAGATGCAGATGTCGAAGAAGAGGGCGAAGAATCAAAATGGCAGGATCGTATTAGTTCAGGTTTCGATCGTTTAGTAGCGTTTGCATCTACCGAATTAGATAAAAGAAGGCGATCGACGGAAGGTAGTGACAGTTGTAATACGTCACCAGATTCAGGAATAGGTCATGGCGATTTACCCCCATCTTCTTTAACAGTAACTCCGGCAAAGCAAGCATTGAAGTTAAATCCGAATTCAAAACCGACTCTTTTTAAAATGCCAAACAAGATTTATTTAGAAAGTCCTCCAATAGGGGAGGCTGGAAACGATGAATCTGGACCGCCTAGAACGCCGTCTCCTTCTTCGCTTATCAACGTCCCTTTAAATTACAGCCCGGAACCACCAAATGAAAAAAGTCAGCCACGTCTGAATCCGGCTTTACTTAAATATCAACGCGAAGATAAAAAAGTTAAACCGGATCAACACTATAAAAAGAAATTTTATTACAGAGAACAGTGGAGGGATGATTCTTGGCAAAATCGAGACCACGATCGATATTGTTCGTGGAAAAATTGATAAATTCACTAAATAAGGCAGTTGTTTCATTGTTGTTTTATTTGCGATTTCACACAGCAAATGATTGAAGCGGTTGGACTTGTCTAGTTAATTTATACACTGTATTTATTTTATTTATACTATTTATCTCTGCCTATATTTGAAACATTGACTCGGTTTGAGCTTTATGCTGTATTTCATCTTAGGTAATTATTTCAGTGACTTCATTCACGTTTAAATATTTATGGCTTCCATTTCTTACTTTTTAAATCCAACATTCGTCATGTTATGTGTTCACGAGAGACTAATATTTAAACGTGTATGTAAGTCGTTACTTGTACCTACGAATCGTTGTGGTGTTATAATTCGAAATCTTCGAATTTGAAGTTTTGGTTTTAGGACCATAACTTCAGATTTAATTGCATCGTTTGCATCAAGTGCTAGATGTGGTGTAGGTGTTCTTTTTTAAATAGGTGGTTGACAGGATGGTCACACTAGAGAATTTTCGGTCAACTAGATAAATTGTAAATTTTACGTTTTAGCGTAAATAAATGGAGACTGTAATTTTGTGTTCATAAACATTGGAAGGATTTTATCGAGTTTCAACTATAATTTATTCAATTTGCTTGTAAGAGTTAATTAATTTTTACTAACGTATTGAAGACAAACACTGCCTATTAAATCTCATAAAACTGTTTTCAAAATTATTAAGTATAATTTATTTGTACATTGTACATATGTTTTTAGATATAGTACTAGCTATTTAGGGATATATATTGTAAAAAGTATAGTTAATTCAAACATAGGTAATTCACGTGGGGAAATCATTGCCTATGTTCTTATATTTCAAAACCGATTTTTACGTACAAGTGTAATACTGCCATTTTCATCATTAATTCATACATTTATATGAAAAAGTATATGTCATTTATAACTAATAATTGACTTGTACTTGTTAAAAGTGTTATGCTTGTAATATTTTAAAGTAGTTCAAAAGACTCAATTGCACCGTTTCGTATCATTCACACGGTCTTCAATCGTATTTTTTGAGGGTTTCAACTTTTACTGTACAAAGACTAAGAAACTGGCATTGCAAACATTTTTTTAAATATATTTGTATATATAGAACACGAATTAAGTCATTTTTTTATTATGTTGGATGTTTTAATCAAACTCGCGATTTTGCAAATACAGTTTTTTTTACGTTATATTCGGTCCTTTTTTATAGAATCAAAGTTTTTCAAGTGATATTTTTGTCTATTTTGTACAAAAGTACTTTGTTATTTTTATGGCCTTATTGTCTTTATCTATTTCATTTGTTGTCTTTCGCATTATATTATAGTTTATTTTTTTAGTACTAAACTTTAATGTTAACAAGTTTTTTTCAAGTTTTGTTTGTTAAATTTTATTTCTGTGCACCATATTATTACTGTCATATCCTTTAATCAATTTTTTCGTATAATGTTTTGTCATTTCATGAAACCCATAATGAAGAAGCCAAAGGTTTTGTCTAATTCAACGTTTTGTGACTGAATTTTTCTTTTTTTTTTATTCTTAGTAAAGAATTCATGGTCGAAAATAGAAAGGATAGCTCTCAGGATTACTATGAATGTGAATAAGACTAGGAATAGAATGTATGTTACATGTAAACAATAAGTTGGTAATTATGGTATCCTTTTAACTGCCATTAATTTAATAAACACTTCTATGTAAGTTTCTTCCTTACTCTCCTATTCCTTATTAAAACTCAAAAAAAAACTTTTTATAATATATTAGTGTATCTTACATGTTATGAAACAATAAGAAAACTGGAACGAATGAACATATTAATAAAATCAATATACAAAGTACTGGATAATTATTACATAAATAACACAGACAACTAACTACTCTAGAATATTCAGTGATGAAAAGATATTAATTGTAACAAAGCCTATAATTAAGTACAAGCTGTGTTTTGTCTGTTTATTAAATAATGATTCTTAAACCCTTAGGAAACTAATGCAAAAATATATATTTACAATACAACCTAACAAATTCCGAGTCGATGTTCTCCAGACATACATTTTCATAAGAGAAATATACACATATTTATATAACAAAACCATAGACATGTGATTTTTTAGTTTAACTCACGTCCACAAGTGTTTTAATTTGAATAACAATGCTAATCAACATAATTAATTTCAATAAAAAAAGACTAAATACTGAGAAAGATCGAAGAGTACAACAGTTGGACTAAATTTTTAGTATCTAGGATTTGTGTTTTGGCTAAACTGTGATTGCACAGCTGCTGCGGCGACGTTACTTGCGGCACTTCGCACATGCTGATTACGAAGAAACTCAGTCGTGAATTCTTGTTGAGCTTTGGCTAAACTAGCTCCAGTACTCCTGTACATGCGATGAATCTAAAATAATAATATAATTCTCTGTAGCAAATTATTGTTTTAACATACCTTTGTAATCAAAAACAAGTCCGCAGCTGCTGCACAACCGAACCCTGCTGCAATGATTAGCGCCAAAATTCCTTTGATTATGCTCCAGACTTCGTTATTGAATGTTTTAATGGCAGTAATGATCCCACTAAAAATTATACATTACAAAATGTCGTGCAATTTTCCGGCAATACTCACATAGTTCCGGAACCTGGAATTCCGATTGCTTGAATAAGTGTAACAACAAACTGAAAGAAGAAAATGAAAAAGAACACCATAAAATTGAACGACGAGTCGGAACGGAATGCTTTATATGCCGGCCGAAACCAACATAAGTAAGAAAAGGGTGTAAACAACACCGTATACAAAATTCCAAGTCCGATTATCATAAAATCTAGCAATAGTATTCCTCCTAGGACGTTTACCAACATTATTATTCCGTGAACTACAAATTTCCAATTCTTATTACTGTCTAACCTATTCAAAACAACTTACATATCCAAAGGTAGTACAAATGGCGTACTATTTTTTGGAATTCTAAAGGTATATCAACTTGTATATCTTGATAGAAACAAGGTTGAAAGCAGCACTGCTCAGGAAGAGGCGGCCAATTATTACGTCTCACGTTATACGATGATTGACGCATTTCTTCCTCTCGTCGAGCTAACTCTTCTTCTTTTCTTTCCAATTCTTCTTGACGTCTCTAAAATCCAGTTTTGTGTTGAGAAAATGTTTAAATGCAATAACACATGGAGCGACTTTGTGTCCATGCTAAAAATTTCTATATTCGAAAACGTTTGAATTAAGGACATGTAGTAATTCTTCTCAAATTAAAATTGACCTCTACAATGTCACCAACACATAACAAAGATCATAGCTCAGTCTAATAATAAATTTTTGTCATTTAGGCACTAAATTGAAAATAAATTTTCCCCTTTCACAAATCAACAAAACCTAGAATAAAACGTTAAAATCGGTTTTGTTCGGAATTCATAAACACATTCACGTAATGACTACAAAAACAAGATTTGACACGTCAAACTGCAATAAAGGTATATGTGCTAGCAAACATTAATTAGCAACAAACTTCACTTCTGTCGTTGTTAGGGTCAAGAGTCTAACTTTTATTTAAACAAAACAGATAATATAAACAAACTCCATCAAAATCCAATACAAGAGATAACAAAACACACAACAAATCTCCGATTTTTATTAAAAATTAAAATAAAAACGGAAGAATGAATTAAAAAAGCTCTTTAAGGTCCATTTTATCGCAGACTTTTGTGCTAACACCGTGTTTGCGAACCACGTATTTAGATAAAAACGATCTTTAACTTACTTGCAACTCTTCGGTGTTGAGTGCTGGTTTTGGTTCATGTATCTGTTGGCCACTTTTGGTATAGGCAGGTGGTTCTTGCGTTGGCTGCATAATCGCCGGTGTCGTGTTGGGCTGATTGTACCCCATCTAAAAAAAAAGCTGTAAAAACCAAGACTTTCATGCAAGAATAAGACGTACAGGCCTTGCATTTTGGGGTTGATTATCAAAAGGGTTGTAATCATTGACATTGATTTGGGCATTGGTATTCCTGGCAACCTGTTGTACCGAGGGATCCTAAAATGCAATAATATTGTAACATACGTTATTATAATTTAAATGTATTATTAATAATAAAATATTGTCATGGTGGTTGACAGTTGTAACTTACCGCAAAAGGGTTGTCAATTGTTGGTTCGCCGAATGGATTATCGTCAAAACCGGACATTTTTTCAAAAATATTTCTATTCGTTTAGCAAACAATGGATATTGAAAATGATATACTAATCTTATCTACAAATCCATTATCATTCTTGACAGGACACCATATTTTAATTTTTAGCCATGTTGACACTTGATTGTGATCATGCGCAGAACAAAGCCTTTCGTTTATCGTCTATCCTTGTTTGAATAGTCATCCTAATGTGATAAACTGAAATAGACAGAGTAGTTTAATTGCATGGTAAAAGGTGTCGCTGGGTAATTTGCAGCGGCGTAGATGTGTAAAATTGAAAGGGGGCAATTTTAGGGTCACATTAATGTCAATTTGCCGGCTTTATAATTTCATTATCTATTGTGTATCAGGTGTTTACTGACTCACGTATTCCGTATCGGATGAATTACAATCAGAAAAAATAATAATTTAAATCATACCTGTTAAAACAGAAAAAATGTAGATGATTTATTTTATTTTATAAATAAAGTATAGGAATTGAAATCGGTATTTGATTTTTCAGCGCAAATAAACAATGCTTTTTTATTACCTATTGTGGAAATAGAGAAATAGAGTAACACAAAAACATGTTTATTTAATGAATAAGTATGCTTTCTATTTTAAGAAATTTGAAAGTAAACTGAATTTAAGTATTAAGTAAACATATTCATTATTTTTGTATATATGTTAATTGTTTTAATTACTCATATTTATCTAACTTTTAAAAT